ACTCTGCCTAGGGACTGTCTCTTCAGACTTGGTCTCTTAGGATCATCCACAGGTACCTATACTGTAGATAGGTTTTAGTCATCAGGTCTACTCCACTTCCTTGTTGCCTGCTTAGACTCTTGGCACTCTTAGGTGAGCAGACTCAGTCAGCCTGTGTTGCCCTAACATGTGTACAACTTTTAATGTACACATGTTATTGTTATCAAATGAGACTTTTGTGTGTGGAATTCAATAATATCTAGCATACTTTTCGACAAAAACAGAGAGCTAATTAATAACAATTTGGGGCCAAAAACTCAATTTACCCAGGAAAGTATTATGGGAGAGCACACCCTCAGGGCCTTTGGCTGACCACACCAAATGGTGAGAAGGCATTTTGATTCAATCTTCAGCCAATTTGTATTAATTAAGTAATTTTGGTAAAATGGATATAACTATGTTAGTGAACTCCACACACAAAAGTCTTGTTTGATAATAATAATTATGTGTACATTGAATGTTGTACACATTACTTGTGCAATCTGAAGGTTGCTTACTAGTTAAGGAAATTATGAAGCAAATTGCCTCCGAGGTGCGTACTCCTCATGCAGGCCATTCACACCAGTCGTTGTCTGACATGTCGACTTCCACAACTCTTCTTGAGCACACCCTGAACGATGGAGTCAAGACTGAAACCGACACATCCACGGGATGAGGACGGGAATGTGGACCATCCACACTCCAAGAGACTTCGTGGTGCTCTCAACCCGGAGCGTGAAACCCAGGTGAAGGAATGGATGCGCAGGCATCGCGCTTGGGTGAACTTCGTTCAACAATTGAACGAGAAGGAGGAAGGAGTGCAAAAGGCGGAGATGGAACAAAATTGTGTCGACAAGCTGCTGATCTCGGTGACCGAGCAGGAGGAATCTTTACCGGCGCTGCAACAGATCGGACTCGAGGTCGTGAAGGCAGGTCAACGAGACTTAGCAGTCCTTGCCATCGAATTGGGCAAGCTTTATGGTGCGTGTGTCTTTGGAGCACCACTTTTCCACCTTGGGCTTACGTCTCCTTTTCTCGACCACCAGATGCGGCTCACCCTCGCGAAATCGCCGGTTCATACCAACAGTCAATAATGGATGTAGCTTCAGTAGAAGCCCAGGAAGAGGGTATGTCTTTGCATTGAGGCCGGCTATGGATTACTGATGTACGGCTGGCGTTAGCCACGGTCAAGGCATGGATCTCCGAATATGTAGGAGATACCGTGAACCTCTTTCACGACCACTTTAAAGGTTCCGCCCCACAGTCCGTCGGCGGACCGGCCCTCTATTCCAAAAGCTTTGTGATAGCGAATTCTTCTGGCATGGGCAAGACTCGTATGATTGACGAATCGTCTAAAACACTGTTTACCGTCCTTTTTGTGCTCAGGGATACGACGGACGGTATGTCATTCAGCTGAACAGCACGGGAACACAGTGCTGATGAGTCCGTGGTCGCAGGATTCCCTCCTCCAGACGCCGGCGTGCTGGCGTAAACAGTCGGAAAATAATGAAGGAGTGTCAGACCGGTATGATATGCTTTCTCAAGACACTCTACGATGAATTGGCCAAGCTGCTCAACGCTCGACAGGAACAAGTGGGGGTCCAAACGCATGCTGAAATGGCGAACTGGTTTCGTGGGTACATGGCGACCTGGACTGATATGCATAAACCCAGCCCGGTACGGGCGGGGTTCTACAACCGTGTGGTGAATAAAGCAGGAAACGTGCGCACGATGTTCTTTATGTGTGCAAGGACATCCCGGCTTATGTACGAAAGATGTCACAAGAAATACATGCCACTCAGGATTCTCCACGTCAAAGAAGTCGAGACCAGCATCATCTACCGGCTCTGTCGACTGGGGACGAATTGTACATATCTCAGATGGTAGACTCATTCACAACGCTCTCCGATCTTTTACACCATGGGCACCACAAGGATCTGCCAACTGTGCTGGTCGCATTGGATGAAGCTCATACCCTCTTGAAGCCGGTCAGTAATTGCCCGAAGGGGACGACCACCTACACGGTATTACGCCGAGTATTGGGCCATCTGAACAACACTCGACACATGGCATGTTTCCTCTCAACATCTGCCAGCGTCACAGACTTTGCGGCTCCAATTCCATTTAATCCGTCAAGCCGTATGCAATCGGGGTTCTTTTACAACTTGCCAACGTTCACCACGTTTCCCTCTAACATGGCAAAGATACAACCGGATGAGATGGATTTGAACTTGGTGGGAACAAACGATTTTATGTGCAGACAGTCTAGGATACTGTGAGTATTCTTGCTCGTGCCCGGGAAAATGAACAAGAGTTGATTTGAAATGGTCTGAAGGTTTCGCAGACGTGCCGAGCACACCGTCGACAACAATGTCGGTTTCAATCTGGTCACGTTCGCCATGGAGAAGTTGCTTGGCACCTCGGCCACATCGCATTACGATGATGGGCAAAACCTGGCGATATTAGCACGCCGCATCCCGATCGATATGCGCACGAACACAAGCGCAGCCCTCATGTTGACAAATCGACAACTTGCTCAGCACATGCGTGTGCTTTACGCTGTCACAGACGACAATGAAACACTTATCACCGGATCTCCGAGCGAGCCAATCGTCTCAGAGGGTGCAAAGACCGCAATGTCCCACACGGGATTCGATGTAGTAAACGCACTTGGAGGAATTTTGAAATCTCCCGGCATCAGCGTGGGTGAACGAGGGGAGATGATGGCTGAGCTCCTTCTCATCCTTGCCAGCGATGCTGCCACTGTAGAAGCAAAAGGCAAATTCTCGATACCGACTTTCTTCGAGCACCTGCTCACTGACTCCTCCTGGAACGTGCTGAAAGGGACTAGTGCATCACGCGGTGCCAAGGAATTCCACGCCGGGACCTTTCAACACACATTCAAGAACTCATACGGGAACTTCAATCACATCATCAAAGTCCATAACAATGTCCTAGAGTCAAAGTCATGGTATCGGCACCTTAGCAGACGGGCCGGCATTTCCGCGAGGTTTGGGGAACGTGGTATAGATGGCGCTTTCCCCATCACTATCAATGGCACAAAGATCGCTCCGGATAATATCAGCTGTCTAGTCTTTCAAATCAAGGCCGTGGAAGCTATGCAACGACCCTCGAAACTTGTGTTCGACAAAATGGACGACCCTGTGCTTGGAACGGACGATTCCGATGATACTGATTCCACATCCGCAAAACCTGTCATTCGTTTGGTATTCTCACTCAGATCCCACGAAAAGGATGTGATCGTGATGAAATACACAGACGACTACGACAACGAACTACTGACGTGGGACATCTTTGTACTTTTCTCGTCCCTGAGAGCTGTTAAGAAGAACCCAAAGGCGTGGCAGACTGTGCTGGACATGGCGTCGAGTGAAGGGAAGATGTATGGTAGTAATGTGACACTGATGGGGATGGACCCAGGGGCAGGAATCGGTGATAATTTCTGGCCAAATTGGGTTACAACAGGAAAGAAAACGACTGAGGATGGAAGCGAGGCAAAGGCGAAGGCATCGAGCAAGGGGAAGGGAAGGGCGAAGTGAGTCGGAGGGAATATACACTGAGAGCAATACATACCTCTTATGCTGCATTCCACGACACAAGAGTGGTCGTCACGTTTCTCAATTGACTGAATCACCCACATAGCACCCATATCTTGAGATCGCTCTCGCACAAGTTACTGTTGAGCTGCAGTCGAACTTTATTTTGTATCTCTTGTCTTGCTCCAAGAATAATTGGTTTTCGGCGAGCTCAGTGAGAGAACACGACAGAGTGCGTATGCGGTCATCAGCTTAGTGTCCCCTAACGGTTCTTTTAGCTTTGTTGCTTTGTGCGTGCTGCCAGCTGGAAAATCGTTTATTTCTTCGACTACCTTCCGACAACCTATTCGATGCAGTACCCATACTGCCTGTCTCAAAATGGCCATCTAGCACACATGAGCGAGCTCCTGCGGACCGGAAAGGAACAACACAAATGCAACCCAATCATCCGGATCGACGACAACAGTACTCGCACTCCTGCTCTCTGATCTTTCTCCCCGGCGTCTACCTCTCGGCGCGCCGCATCCGCGTCAGGCTCGCATGCAGTTTCGGCAAACTTAGTGCGCCACGGTCCGAGCTTCGGGAGGCCAAGGCCTCCTTTCGCAACGAGAGACGTACAGCCTCAGCAACCATGCAGGCTGACCAGAAGCCCACCGCCGTTTGACATCCTGATCTCTCTTTCCCTCACCCCAGTTCGCCGCTAGAGTACATCGCGTGGGCAAGAACTGGTAGGCGGCCTGGCCCTCTTCTTTTCCCCCGTTTGTGCCGTGGGTGGCTTTCGTGTGTGTAGGACTGCCTGAGAGTTGTACAGATGCATCACAGGAGAGCTCTCAGCGAAGAACCAGTGCCTGGTTATAAGACGCGTGCGGTGAGGATGTCAACAAAAAAGCGAAGACTTCCATAATCTCAGGGAACGGATGCATTTTAGCTTTTCCGGCATCGTAGCTCCGATTCCTAAGTTCTGGAGTGTCCAGTCATTGTGGGAATAAATGGATGTTACAATATAATACACAATAATCAGCTGAAAATCATCTAGCATTCATCGTCGATGCAATCTGATCCAGTTCCCTTTGAACAAGCCCATTCGGTGCCATGCGTCTCAATTGACTGAGGAAAATGTTAGTCCACAATGAACCCGAAAGAGAAGGAAGGACGTACTCGAGCCGATTCTTGTCTCCTCGCTCTTTACATTCGGCTCCTGCAGCTCTCCAATCCCCGCACTTGATATAGAGGTCTATTCGTTGCTTAGCGTCGCATCGAGGGACGAAGTTCTTCGCCTGGTTCGGGAAGCCCTTGGACACCAGATGGTTGACAAAGGCTTCGTAGCCGATTGGGCTGCGCTTCTGCTTTGCGAACGCGTCCAGGCCTTCCCAATCTCGTGCTTCCGTAAGAGCGTGTAGCTTGATGTACCAGAACCTGTTGACGCTGAGAATGACGAAATATCTGTCAACATGACGACTTACCTCTTGTCTGGAACTCTCCAGTCACTCCTCACCTTCTCTGCCTTCTTCGACTGCCCAGTTGTGATGCACTTGTAGATAGTATCGTTTATGCTGAGTCCAATGAACTCAACTCTGCCATCCGCATCTTTCTCAAAGGCCTGCTGAAGTATCAATAGCTTCGAGTGCTCGTCCATCATCTGCACCTGGTCAATACACGACGTGATCGATGAAAGATATGGTACCCTGGCTTCGAAGCCCCTATCTTTGTCTTCCGAAAACGACTTGCCAGCAGCACGAATAGCCGCAGTCCGATCAACCACATCCTACAGTCGCATGTCAACATTGTCCATACTCACCGCTAAGAAATGCTGACATTCGCCTCGGCAGCCTCCTCGAGTTTCAAAATGGCACTCTCCGTCCTTCTGTCATCCTGGAAGTAGAAATCCCGGAGCAGTTCTCGATTCTGTTGTCGAGCATAGACCTGCAAGAGGCTTGCGGCAGGGGCTAACTCCGGGCCGCCGTCCTCCAATAAGCGGAAGAAGTCTCCTAGGTTGAGACGCTTCTTGAGGGTGAGAAGAACGTGGTATACTGATCAACAATAAGTATCATATGTCAAATCGAGGATAAAAGACACGGACCCATGTCGGTGTCTCCGCTGTCGATGGCCTTTTTCAGTGCAAGGCGATCCTCTTTCATGCTCAGCAGTAGCGGGACCTGATCCTCTGCTCTAGGTTCATGATCCAGCAACCTTGTGGCCAACCTCGTCCTTCCAAGTTGCCATGCCCTCCTCGCGATATCCGCATAACTAACCCCATACTGGCCTTTGAACTTGCTCACAATTGTCTGTACGATGTCATCGTCGTCCTTCTCACTCACGGAGATGCCCTTCGTCTGGGCGATCTTGGCGCACGCCCAGTGCTTCAGGACGGGATCGGCTTTGATCTGGAGGTAGGAAGAGACGCGAAGGGCGAGGAGGTGAAGGTTGCGCGAGGTCAGGCGGGCGATGAGATGCTCAGGAGAGGTATGTTGATATCTAACCTTGCAGTCAGTGGCAATGACTGAGGCAGCCAAATTCAACACGCACTGGGTATATGTAATGGGTATGCCGATCTCATAGTATCTTGCAGCATTGAGCACCTTGAGCGTCTGCCCAACTGCGACAAACTCGGAAGGGTCGTATAAATCCAAGAACGCTCGTCCAAAAGAAGCAGCCTACGCCAACACCTTAGCATACATTCGCACAGAACGGCAATCTTCGTACATTTAGAAGCTTCTTCTGCCAATATGGCTCCCACTCCTGAGCGGCCGCGTCAATGCACGCGTCTACGGCGGCTACCAACTCCGGACGGATACTGCGAATGTTCTCGTCAGCTTTTGGAGATTTACGCTCGAAGTGTGTCATCGCATCGAAGAGGGTTGCAGCAGGGGAGGTAGAACCGGGGCGGAAGACGGCATCAGTAGATGCTATTTTGATTGCGCATCAGCACGAGTAGGTAGAGAAGGAAGGAGGGAGGACGCACAGGGCACTCGCTGCAGGAAATCGCACTTCTCTGCCCCGACGATACGCGTCCCGTCGATTTCACCAATCGCATGCACCGGAGAGGCATAAAAATACCTTCGACAAGCTCAGTCATGCATCTCGATCAAAATCGGTCCACGCACCTCAGCGCGTCCCCAAACGGTCCCATCATCAGCACCAAAGCATCCCACACCAATACCAAGCTATCGTTCCCACACCAGACCATCTGCTTCGGTGGGCCTGAGACGCCTTCGAGCGAGAGGTCGGACTCGGCGAGCTCCCCTTGGAAGTCGGACGAGACGACCCAGAGGACGTTTTGTGCGGTGAGAAGTGCGAGGGCCTTCCCATTCGGGGAGGGGGCAAGGAATGTGAATGGGCCGCGGGAAACGCGCTGAGGTTGGATATGAGCGGATGAAATGGTGGGAAGTGAATGGGATGGGACGAACCTGGTCGATACACTCCAGGTTATCCAGCATGAGGATCGTCGAGTCTGTTGAGATGAGCACCTCTACATGCCTGCTGACGGTGAGTTCGGGCGGCATGATCGTCCAGCAATGTGGGGGAGTGGACAGTCCTACAAATGTTGAGAATCATCAGTATCAGCAAGTGAAATGTCAAAGAAACGCACCAGAAGAAGCCAACGTCTGGGCCTTGCCGCCCTCCCAACTGCGCACTTCCAAGAAATTGAGGCTGCCCGTCAGTGCAACCAAACCAGTCTCGTGCACTTGCGCTTCAACTACTCCTTCCTCCAGTGCCTCTGCGCCGAGCGAGAACTGTTCATACTCCCCTTGAAGATCGTACACCCTATAGAGCCCTTCTTCGGACAGGACGACGAGTCGCTCGTCGTATGCCCAACCCATGCAAATGATCTTGCCTTGATCCCACTACGCCAGGACAAGTTCAGTGTACAATATAAGGCAGAAACGGAGTAGGCATACAGAGAGGGTAGAGATCAGTCCACCTGAAGAGCTGTAAACCTGGATCTGGGGCTTGGTGAATCTCTGCGCCCCTCCGAGCGCGATCACCTTGTGCTCGTCCCGTATAATCGCTGTACGCTTGTCAATGCGCACCCCTACGATTCTTGGCCATGCTCACCAAGCGGACCGCCATATCGTGCACCAACAACCTTGAAGTCGGATAAATCCTGGACCTTCCACTGCATAGAGTACAACTCTTGTTTCCTGGTACGGATTCAACATAATACTGCAGCGAGGATGGTAGTCAAACGAACCTGTAGAACACGGTGCCGTCCTGCATGGGTTCCCATGTCGAAGTAGGATGGTCGGTTGGCGCCATTCTGGCAAGTTGAACGGTGGACCGCTGATTGGGATATGGACTGCGGAGGAGACCAAGGTTGACCGTGACGATGTCCTGACTGAGGGTCGACGTCGTCACTGTAGTCCCTGGCGTCTCTCCACAAAAGGACGGACGACACAAAACAACGAACACGTACTACATCTTCTCATTTGGGATAACACCCCGTCACACAGTACTCTGTAGGTCGTTGAGCAAATACATTGCAGGCTTCTTAGTAATTTCCGGTTTGACATAGCCATTTTAATGAGTCACCACAAGTCACCACACACTCTAATGATTGGCTGGCTAATAGCTTGGCCATCGCGTATTTATTGCTCACTCTATGCGCTATTCAGGTTGATTGATAATAGAAACTTGTGTGCGTACGAACAAGTCATCGATTTTTTCAGATGTCCTTCAGCCTTAACGCCGATTCATGACTAAGCATACCAATAGACTTGCCCTGATAAGGGTCTCCAAAATTGTAACCCGCTCCGCGCACCCCCTGGGCAACGCGACGTGGCACTGGACGCGGAAAAGCGGGACCAGAACGACCTGTCTCTTGTCGTTGTCTCTCCCACTGTGCAGGATGACTCTCCTGATCTGCCAGCCACTGATTGTTCCCTGCTGACAGATCTCAGTTCCAGATGGCCATTCCTCCTCTCCTTGTGCAAGTGCCTCACCTCACCTGTGATGCTGTCAGCATCATGGTGTTTGGGGAGCCTCACATGTACCACCCCATTGTTCAGATACTTGACTTCATGGATTTGCCCAATGACCAAGGCAGTATGAGGGACCCACTGGTGTTCATGTAAGTTACTCCCCCCTTGCACAATGGCAGGCTTGATGATGTGCGCAGGATCATTATTAGTGATGGATGTCAGTGGATCATGGTGCTGCCACACATGACCATGTGTGATGCTGTTGTGAACCAGATGCTGCAGATGAAAGCAGTAATCAACATTCAACAGTATGCTGTTGCGGTGTCTCCTTGCCAACATCAAACATAAGCTGATCATTTCCCTATGCAGGGCGCTGCTGAGAAGTTACAGGCTTGTACGGATTGACAAATGGAAACTAGTTGGTTACACACATTGGATAGGTATGCTGGCCAAGTTGCTTCTCAACCTGGAGCCGCCACTTGGTGAAGGGAGTGTGGTCAGTACGGGCCACATGGTGCATGCCCTTCCAGAGCAGGTTGTGGCTGGACTGGCATGCCCTGCGCAGGGACAGTCTGTTCCATTAACATGGAGACACGTAAAGGCTTTCTCTGATATGCCAAACTCTCAAGATCCATCAGAAGAGTACCTGTGTCCTCACCTAGAACTTCCCCCCCCTAACACAAGGTCAACTATCACCAGACACTGGCTCACTCTCATAGTGCAAGTCCATCTGCAGGTGGTTCTGTGAGTACATTTGCTGAAGAAAGGACAGTGAGCTTACCCTGCACAGGTTCTCCATGTATGTGTGAGTGTACAAGGTGAATGTGGCACACAGGGTGATGATTCAGAGGCAGGAGCACACACTGAAGATGATGATGGTTCACGATCACACAGTTCATCTTTCTGTTTGTACCATTGTTTGACATTACTCACGTTGCTCAGGGCAAAATCGAAATTGCAGGATTTGACAGACATGTGGGATTCTTCAACAGTGTACTGACTTCCCAAGTATATTGAATTGACAATGCTCAGCCAGAGGTGAATGATGAGCAAATGCAGAGAGTACCTCATCCATACTGTTTGCTTGTCAATGGCGACATGTGTATCATGCGTGTGGAAGATGACTGCCACTATCTGGCTGTTTACTTTCATTTCACCAAATTGTCCTCCATTATTCATTACAAGAACAATAAAACTGTGGGTGCATATGTTTCCCATGTGCAAGGGTATGGAACTAAGTGCTTTGTAGATGTGGTAGCCATTGTGGCCCAGTTGGGTTGTAAGATCTTGAGCAGTGTGCTCAAGGGAGCCAAGGGGACAAAGGTCAGTTACACTCCAAGCTGCTACTAGTTACTCACCCTTGCACAGGGACACACCAAGGCACCCAGCAGCAATTGTGTCAAGCTATGGCTGGTGGATGACTCCAAGGTTACTGTGCGCCTCTGCATGTTTGATGAGTTCATTGGGCAAATGGACAACTCTTTGGTGGGGAAAGCAGTTATGTTCAAGACTCTCCTCACCAATGAGATGGACGGACCATGCCTAAAGACGCAGTTTTTTGTCAGCCAGAACAATTATGTGCACCAACACCTGGAAGCAGGGTTTGTTTTTCTTTACCACCCTGTTCCTTGTGCAGGGAGCTTATGCACATTCAGGTGGGCTACATCGGGCAGCCTTGCACATGGGAACCAGTGGATGTCCATGACAGGCAGCTTCTCAGCTGCTGGCGCACCAGACAAAGATGGGCAGGTGGTACCAAGCCTTCAAGTAAGTATTGCAAAGGCAAAGCATCAAAAACTGGGCTTTAACCAGCCCATTACCTTTGTGATCATGGGAAGGCTTCATCCCCAGCACAACATGCAGTTCACCTACCAAGGCTGTCCCTACAAGATGTGCCATAAGAAATGGAGCATGTCATTTTGGGACAAAGATGAGGAAACATATATTTGTCCTGCTTGTTGCAGGACATATGTTTCCCCTGGAGCAAAGTAATGTCTTATTTTGCAACAACCTTGTGCAGGGCTGACATGGAAACTAGATATTGATATCATGTTGAGGTTGTTGACAGTAGAAGCCAGCATTGGATCACGTCATTTGACACAGAGACCAATAAGCTTCTGGGCGAGATGGCCAGTGACATGGACCACTAGTTTAACTTGTTGCAGGGTGGCGACATGAGTGCATATGCCATGCGCAGGGCTGAACTCATTGTTATTAAGTGGCAAGCAATGCAGTGGTATTACACCACTGTTGATTCCATCTTGGGAAATACATATGAAATTACAATCAAGGCCAATGCCAATTTCATGGACAGGCAGAAAGGAGAAGTGACTTGGGTGGCAACCCATTATGTTCATGTGTAGTGCATTAAGCATAAGAGTGTTTAGTTGTGCATGCCCCTGCACAGGGGCTGAAGAATGTTTACAATTACCATGAATCACATTTCATTGCAGTCTGCATACATACATACTACACTTATTCTGGGGGGGAAGAAGAACATGAGCTCCTGGCATTTGACAATGCACATGCATTCTCTTGAGATGGGTGAGGAGTCTCAAATTGGTAGTCATACGCAGAGGGACCTGCACCAGAAGGAAGTGGTTGCTGGCTGAGGTGGTTGCCCTGCACAGGGATATATGATCGCATGGGTTCATGGCTCCGGGAAGGACCAGGTATAGAGTCCCCTTGCGCATGGGATGGGAGTCTATCATTGTGAGATGGGAAGTGATGAGGTGGTTGAGGAGAAACCAGCCTTTTGGTCAGGTTTGCAATAGCTGCCAACTGGCATGAGATAATGTGTCTTGCTTCCATAAGATCCTCTTGAAGAGCATCTGTGCACAGGAGGGAGGTGCGGAGGCAATGGTCCAGGTTCCAAGCATTGCGAATCTCCTCATCCCTCACCTCATGAGCTGATTCGAGGTGCAAGACAACATCTGTATAGTGGCAGGAGAAAGCTCTTGTAGTTGCTTCTGCATCTTCCAACCAGATGGCCTGTCCAGCAACCATCTCCCAGAGACTGAGCTCCTCCTGCACATGGCGAGGAGGGGGAGGTTGACAAGGGGGAGGGCCATCTTGTTCAGGGGAATCAGTATCATCATCGCTTGATGAGGTGTAAGAACAGAAGCCTGCCCTGAAATCTCACACAAAGGAGGGCTGGCATCCCTGCACAGGGCGAAAGTTCTGCTGAAGGGGGGGTTCAGGTGAGACATCGCTTGGGCTGTGACTGTGCTGGTAAAGGTCAGTGCACAATGATGGTGGGCCATGTGTGTTCTCACTGGGTCCTCATTGATCCACCACCCATATCTAGCTGAACCCCAGTATGTGGTGTTCCATCCACAATGAGGTCCATTGCCAGGACCAGGCATGCCTATACCAAGTTGGTGAGACAGGCAATACTCGGAGCAGAGCAAACAAGCCCTGTGCAGGGGACATTGATCATGTGACTCAAACAAAGCACAGCTGCACATGGCTCAGTACATGTGTAAAGGAAGCAGACTATCTATTAAGCAGTCACCAAAAAAGGAAAAATAGGCCAGAGGAGAAGTTGCTCTTCTCCCGGAACAACACATGGACAAGACAAATTCATAAAGGCTCCTCTTCTTCAGTCAAGCAAAGGCTGTCAATGGAAAATTTCAATATCAACAATTGGTGAAAGACTCATTGAGTGTGTGAGAGCTCAGTCAACACTGCTGAGGCCATCAAATCTGAAGCAAAGCCCATGTGCAGGGCACTATCCAAGTGGCTGATATTGTCCATCAGTTGCTGTAGCTGTTCCTTCAAGGTGGCAGATATGGCATGCCCTTGCGTGAGAGTGGCAGACACTACATCATGTTCAGCAACATCATGTGAGTGGCAGTAAGACCTTACCTGCAGGTGGCATCAGAAACAAAACTTCTATTTGAACAACCCTGCACAGGGTGGTTCATATATGCTCAGGGGGGCTTGTTCACGCATGGTTGTGGCTGGTTACCCAGCCATGTGCTGAAACAATATATCATTCAGAAGTCATATGACATGCCCTCATCCTCATCCACAGCTTCCACAGCTTTGTGTATGAAAAAGACGGTGTGCAGTGTGAATGCAATTGTGTGAGGGTGCTTATCCTTTGGCAGCTCAGAGTCTTTATTGTCAAAACACTTTTTGATCTGCATTTCACAGAGGATGACATTGCCCTTGCACAGGAGAGAAGTGGAGTATTGCTTCAAATCTTTCCTAGCCTTCATACCATCATGGGCATCGTAGATGGAAGTGAACTTGCATGCCTATAACTGTTGTGAGCAGCATACAAAGCAAAGTAAGGGACTGTTAGGGCAACACAGGCTGACTAAGTCTGCTCACCTAAGAGTGCCAAGAGTCTAAGCAGGCAACAAGGAAGTGGAGTAGACCTGATGACTAAGACCTATCTACAGTATAGGTACCTGTGGATGATCCTAAGAGACCAAGTCTGAAGAGACAGTCCCAGGCAGAGTAGGCCTTATATTTATACCTCTGTGGTGGAACCTGCTAGAACATCTTGCTTACTCAGCCTAGTCAGGTGATCAGGTCATATGACCAAGGATGAGGTCATATAAGGTCATGCACAGCCATGCACAGCAGGTCACCTGACCATCCAATCCTTCCAGCAGGTTCCAGCACATGCCAAGATATACCAGCTACTTCCATGTCATAAAGGCTTAGTCATGTCTCTTGACCAAGCAATGAGCTGGTGCCCTGACAGGGACGCACAGGTTTGTACTTGCACAGGGTCTCTTCACAGCTTTCCTTTGTGTTGGGTAGGGTGTTGATATCTTTTGTGTTGATGTCCTTGGTAAATTTGGGCTGGTCAGGCAGCACTTGATCAGCAACATCTAAATGAGCCCTGTGCAGGGTGAGAATGGATGAGCAAACTGTATCTGTACAAACCTCTTGCACCGCAGTGCTGTTTTGACACCAGCATTCAAAGGATTTGGGTGTTTTTTTTGTAGCCATGGTGCTTTACCATTTGTAGGGACCTGCAGATGTGCAATTTATTCCTCTGAAGCAGCTTGCAAGGCAGGTCAAGAAGGCTTGCATATGTGTCTGTCATGCACAGGGAGCCATGGGGCCAGTGGGCATGGCTGAAACAAACAAGCCATGGGGATCAACACAGATGAATGTTAATGACTGGTAGCAGTTTTCCCCTATACATTCCCATGCTGATCTTCAACAGAGCATTGCAGTGTGCATTCAGCAGGGAAACCTCTTAGCTGTCTTAGCAGCCAACTCATCCAACCATTTGAATTTCTTGCACAGGTCTGAGGGCAGGCCGTGAAAGATTGACCTCAAAGTAAAAGGGCAAAGGATGGCTATGCCTTCCAAAGTCTGGACATGGGACAGCATGACATATGCACTTTGTGGGGAAGTGCACCCACACAGATCCACAATGGTGGTGTGGAGGGATCAACCCTGGCTCTTGTAATCTGTGTAGGCATATGCGGGAAGTAAAGGGAGGAACTTTCTGGAGATTGAGTGCAACACATTTTTTGACCATCTAAGCATTTGGATTCAAACAAGTATGCCCTTGTGCATGGCTGAACACAAATAGTATTGGGAGGTAGATGCGCCTGCACATGGTCACAACCAGGCATATTGACCATGACTGCCATGGGATAACAATGGCCATTGCAATCAAATTTGTACCAAATGCCAGTCACTGTTCCAATAGCCCCATTGATGAGTGATTTATAAAAGGCCAAATTCTCTGTCAGCATGACCTGCATGCCTTCAAACATGAGCAAAAAAACCCAGTGCATCTTGGACTGCTGGTTGAATGTGAACTTTATCAATGAAATTGGGGAAAAATACAAATGGCAGGCCTTGCGCAGGGACTGAGCATGATGGCAAGCAAGGAACAGGTTCAGGCAGTTGCAGACATCTTTGGTCACTACAATGAATGGTGAATTTAGAAAATGTATCCCATGCACAGAGGAGGATGCAAAAATGGAAGAGATTAGGCAGGTTTGGAGCATGTCTTCATCAGGTATTCTGTAGTGCATGACATGGGGCTTCTTGTGCTGATCTTCTATGGTATTTTGCCATGGGGTTCCATTGCACAGATGCAAAAGCAGTTCAGCCCATCAGCAATCATTCTCTTGATGAATGTTTTTTGCTAAGAGAACTGCTTTGTTCACCTGTCTCCAAAAGACAACACCAGTCATTTCTTCCTGACCCTGCACATGGCTTATCCATGCACCATCAATGTTTTGGACAAGCTTGTGACTGTACAAAGATTGCCAACCCAGAGGCTTAAGTTGAGTGAAATCTCCAGTGAAGACAACATTCATGACACTGAACAGGAAGCCAATGTCCACTTCTTGGCCTTGCACAATGTGAATGGATATATTGTACAACAATTTGCTTGACACCATTGATATCTCATTGATGACCATCCATTGTGCATGTCACCATACTTGCTCCAGACCATCTTGGTTGACCTTCAAACCATGCATAGCTGGTAATTGCATTAGGGAATGTATGGTGTAGCCACCAATTACAACTGCTGCTGCCCCCGTAGGAGCGCTGATATGCAGTTTATCCTGAATCAACAATTTGTTTAACAGAGATTCCTTGCTGCATATAACGTGGCTTTTTCTGGTACTGGCGCTGCCACCAATGTAAAGGAGCAGTTGCTCACAAGGCCCTGCACATAGATAGTGTGCTATAATCCTCATTGCTCTCATTTGCTCAAGATTGGTTCCAATATTTTGTTCCTGAACAACCTGTGCAAGGGCATGGCAAACAGAATGCTCTGGAATAGCATGCTGGACCTCTGAACAATTGTCTGAAAAGCCTTGCACAGGATGGAGTGAATCAATTGTGAGAGCAGGTCCAGAATCAGAGTTGAAGTGTGTTGGATGCTGTCTGCCTCAGATCTTTCCTTCTGCCCTCCATTTAGCCATTTCTGCAGCCCATTCTGATAAAAGGTTCTCTTCTTCCACAGTTAATGATGTTGCCACCATCTGAGAAGAAGTCTGGCTCAGCAACAGGAACTGCATGTGCAGGAAGAGCAGACAAAAAGGCTGTCATTGCAGGACCTGCTTTGCCAGTGCACAGGGCATCTTCTGCACTGCACAGGGACAGGAACAAGGGATTATCTTCTGGCAAAGAACCACTTTTGTCTGCATTCAGATTGGTGTTGTCCACATCCAAATCTTTTGCAAGGTCCTCCATGTGTTTGTCAACCAAAGAGTTGGCAATAAGGTTGGTGTACTGGCTTTTGTGATGCTTGCTGTGCAGGTCATTATCTCTGGCCTCTTTTGATTGTCAGAGCACTGCCATATTGGATATAATAAATTGATGGATTTCTGTGAAAGGAGGTTGTGAAAACATCATGTGCCAAGTGATGGTGCATGGCTTGAGATCCTGTGCACAGCGCCATGGTTTAAACAGCGGTAGCATGGCCCTGCAATACTCATCACTATGTTGCCTGGTAGGATCTTCTTTAGGCAAGGCTGGTCTGATGATGTCCAGGACAACAGGCACTATGGGCAGGGATACCCTGTGAGTGGCATGCTGTGGGTGGCTTTCTTGAAACATGGCCCATTGCTGTCATTTTCTACTGGGCGAACAACCTGATGTGCACAAAGAAGAGGGACCAGCTCCACATTGTTTGAACTTGGCCCTGTGCAGGTGTAATGGACAAATGGCTCTTTCTGGTAGAAGGAGACATAGTCATACAGACAGTAACTGTTAAACGGCTCTTCTACAGGCCTCTTTGCATAATCTTCAAAAGCTGTGGCAGAGGTGACATGACCATGTTGAATCTCTAACTTCACTGCTGCATAGGAGGAATATCCGCCATGTGCAAGGTCTTCATCGTCATCATCATTGGATTCCAGAGATACATTGGATCTGTGGTTGTTCACTGTTTCAACATCCTGTGCAGGGAACTCCTCTTCATCCAGTCAATGAGAAATGTACCCCCAGTGAAGCAATGAAAAATTGTGCAATCTGTAGCAATCCCCTCCTCCAACATAGAAGCTCATGAGCTGCTGATGTGACATCTCTTGAGAGGCACCAATCTGGTTCACAAGTTTGACAACCAAACTCTTTGATTGCACTGCGCAGGGCACTCCTTCTTCCTCACAAAACTTGTCACGATTCTTCTGAATTGCACAGAGCATTGCAGTCACCCCAGCATGCACCTTGAGAGAAGCCTTTGTCATGTAGTCTGTAATGTAGTACAACGTGGCTGTAGATGCTTCTCCTGATGCAAGGTACTGTATGTCCATGTTACATTGAAGGAGATACATCATCACATCATTGTACTCATTGATCCTTGGGTGTAAGCAGCATAATAATATGGAGCCTGTTTCTTCATCCACTGTTGACGTCACTTGGGTCAAGCCATCCATTTGCATGCAACAATTTGCATCAATCTTATCTTCACCCTTGCTCAGGTGTATCCAACAGCTAGCTTGATGCTTGTGCCAATTGTTTCATTCTACAAGATCTTTGACCCAACACATAAAGATAGGATCTGTGCATGGATCCCCACTGTGGAAGGGAAGGGACGGAATAGAGTGAGGATCAATGTCATCTTTCCCCATCTTTGGTGCGGGGAGTGCCCCATTTGGTTCTGTGACCACCTCATCCTGCCCTGGAAGCTCTGTCAGATGCTCCAACCATGAGATCATGTCCACCCAAAATCCCAGATTGTTCTCCATCCCCTTGTGCAAGGCATCAGGGGAAGGGTTCCCTTTCAACCACACCAGGACATGGCAGTGGAGGGTACCTCTACCCTGTGCTTCCACCATGCCATACCACCCTGTGCAGGTACCAAACAAACCAGGCCCTTTCCCAACACATAAAATTATATTGTGAAATCTTTCCATACACCAACGGAATTCAGATGCAGCTATACCAGGATGCATGGCCACTGACATCACCCATTTAAACTGAGTCGCTTTTGTCATGCCCTCCACAAGGCCATTTGCCCTGGCAATATTCAGGTGACATATATATCCATCCACATCGCAGGGGGGAAAAGTGATGAAAAATGCTGGATGGCTGAGTCGATACACAAGGGATCTGATCTCATTCCTGTGGCACCACTTGTATGCGTCACTGCTGGGCACATCATGCCTGAGCATGTGCACCTTGTGCAGGACTCTCAAGGCCATTTCCTCTTCAACCAATGTCACTTTTGCCCACTGTGATTTTTGGAGTTTGTCAGCCAATTTGCTAAATACCTGGCCAGGAATTTGCTGAATATCCTCCACAATGCAAGTGTGCCTGCCGTCCAGGATATGAAACCTAACAAGACATGCTGCCTCACGCTTCTGCAAGATGTTGTGGAAGACAAATGCAAATGTGGGTTCTTCTTCAAAGCGGCTGTTTGCCATGTGCAGGAGGTGTGCAAGCTGCTTGGCCATGGACACAGGCTTATGCCAATGAGGATCATCAAACCCACCTAGCACAAAGGGATCCAAATGGGGGAACATCCATGTAAGGGTGTATTCATTGCAAAAATCATGGATAGCCCTATGTCCTTTCCAGGGCACAACAAAGTGGCCACCATCAGATAGGCAATGTGCAAGTGCATCAGCCTTCATTGCATTGTACAAAGAAGTGTTGGAAGACGAGGTGGAATAACCAGAAGCCTCCATGAAGAAGTCACCGCATTGAATATCGCAAGGCTCAAAAACATTCCGTGATGTTATATCAGACTCTGTGGATGATTGTACATCTTTGTACCAAACATGCTCAACTTCAATGCAAGGAAAGACAGTGCCAATGTCCCCTGCACAGGGGAATAGATTCCAAAAGGTGGCTTCCAATCAAACAGCCCCCCCAGCGGGGAAATCTTCTGTAGTGCATGTATACGCCTTGTTGAACTTGAAAAGAAAATCCAAGATAGTGCAAATGTTACGAGCAGATGCTTTCAAAGGCTCAACCCTACGCAAGACCCCCAGAGTCGGTAACGCGGCGTCTGCAAACACGGCAACAAAATTCTGCTTCACATCATCTACCGGAGGGGGAAGTACATTGTTGAGAGTGATGGTGTCTTGAGGAAATATGAGAACATTTCCCTTGGAATACCGTTGCATTCCATCAAAGTGATTTCCGTGCAGGCAACTTTCTGGATTATCCATAAAAGTGCTGGTCCGAAATGCTTCTTGCACATGCAGAGGGACATGTTCATATGTGTAGTGGAAGCCATTGGCAAGAGCCAAAACAGGTATGTCACCCCTGCGCAGGGACGTAGCGCATAGGCCACAGAGCCGAATTTCTCCACGGAACTCGTATGGGGAAGATAGACCTTCAGGATGAAGGTAAGCATGGTGGTATTGATGGAAGGAATAGCCAAGAGGACGAAGGCGGTATGGGATGTACTCATTCACCAAGAGCGAGAAATCGACATCGCACACGGGCACAGGTTGTAAGTGGGAGAGCAGAACAGATTCTGCGCAGCAACCACAGACACCCCTGCGCAGGGATGCAACCAATACATGATCGACGAATTCATTGATAATGTTCCGTACCAAATCAGGATTGTCCTTTGGAGGGAATGCTTCTTCCACGACCGGAGCCACCATATGCACTCGCTTTGACAAGTCGCCTGAACAAGGAGAATGAGCTCTCTTCCGAGCACAATCAAATGATGGCCGCCACCCATGCAAAAAATGTCGAGGTGACCGAAAAGCAAATATCCACACAAGAGGTTGAGCAAGCTCATCCACTTCTCCAGCATGCTTCAGCAATGCAAGGATAACTTTGTGCTGGGGGAGGCATGGCACGACTTGAAATGAAACCATGCCCACGATAGATAGCAGGTCTGCGCAAGAAAAGAAATCAAACAAGATGAGGATTGCGGATAGAGAAGAGAACACATATAGATCACCCAGCGCAGGGCCAAGAGGGTGAGTGAAGCATAATGTGAGAAAGCAGTAAGAGGTGTTAAGGTCAGAGGCGGAAAAGGAGTCTCCATTCACAGACGTGATGTGGCCTGCACGGCCGACATAAGCTTCCATTTTCTGTCAAGCCCTGCGCATGGTGAGCTTACCTGCATAACGGCAAAGAATGAAACAGCCAAAGATTGCAGGAAGCGGGCAGGAAGACACATAATTGAACACCTTAAGTAGGAGGCTGGAGAAACCGAGTGAAACATCACAACCAGCCATGACACATTGAAGTGAGGCTTGACACGGGCCGAACAAGAGACCGCATAAACGATTACGAATTTCCATAAGAGGAAGGATGGGCGGAAGTAAAAGGGCAATTTCTCCCTGCCCAAAGCCTGGGACAACTACGTTGCCCAGGGATTTTACTTTCTCGCCTCCAACCAGGCAGGCCTTTATAAGCAGCACACCGCACCAATATCTTATACCATTTTATCCTGTTCTCTCATATCTCTATGAGCGCTGGAATGGAGTACATCGCTCCACCTCTTGTGCACCGGGTGCTCTGCGCAGATTGCGGTATGTTGGCTACCTTTGAAGCTTCATCACAGAAGCTGACATTTGCATAGGCACACCCATCGAACCCAATTCTGCCAACCTATGTATCGCCTGCCTACGCAACACCGTCGACATTACCGAGGGCATCCCTAAACAGTCTACCGTCAACTTTTGCAGAAATTGTGACCGCTGGCTCTCTCCGCCCGCGACATGGACGATTGCTGAGCCCGAATCGCGCGAGCTGCTCGCAATTTGCTTGAAGAAGCTGAAAGGGTTGAATAAGATTCGCTTGATCGATGCAGGATTTATATGGACAGAGCCTCATAGTAAGCGCATTAGGGTGAAGCTCACGATCCAGAAAGAAGTAAGTACCTAATTTGTCACTGTTGCGGACCACAGGATCGTTAACATCGATATAGGTGTTCACGTCCACCATCGTCCAACAGATATTTGAGGTCGAGTACGTCGTAGTCCACGGGCAATGCCCCGACTGCACTAAGCTCGCTGCGAAGAATACGTGGAAGGCGATGGTTCAAGTTCGTCAAAAAGTCAATCACAAACGCACATTCCTCTACCTCGAGCAGCTCATCCTCAAACACAACGCGCACCGAAATACTATCAGCATCAAGGAGGCCAAGGATGGACTGGATTTTTTCTACGCCCAAAGGAGTCACGCAATAAAAATGGTCGAGTTTTTGACCGCTGTCGTCCCCGTGAAGATGAAGAGCAGCGAACAGCTTCTCAGCACAGACATCCACTCTGGCACTGCGAACTACAAGTTCACCTACTCGGTCGAGATCATCCCGATATGTAAAGACGACTTAGTCGTCATACCCCCAAAACAAGCTCGATCACTGAGCAATATCCAGTGCGTATTTTTTCTTCTCCTTCGAACCAATCTAACAAGCTCTTTCAGACCACTGACTATCTGCTCACGCGTGGGCAACTCGATCCACTTCCTCGATCCCCAAACGCTGCAAGTAGCAGACGTGACATCACCCGTGTACTGGCGCACACCATTCGACGCCCTCGCCACCGTATCCGACACCATCGAGTTCCTCGTTCTGGACATCGAACCATCCGGGCCAACGCGAGGCAGATACGTACTGGCGGACGCGCAGGTCACACCAGTGAACTCTTCACTCGGCATGCAGGCGTCCTCTTTCGTAGGAGACGGCGAAGGGCAGGACTCGATTTATCACACGCGCACGCACCTCGGCGCTATCCTTCAACCGGGTGATACAGTCCTCGGCTACTTTCTAACCCGTGCAAATTACAACAATGCGACATTCGACACCCTGGACCCATCACAGGTCCCAGACGTCGTATTAGTGCGCAAGACGTATCCCAACAGGCGCAAGAAGACACGCACGCGGAACTGGCGACTCAAGAGTATCGCCAAGGAGGCTGAAGATCCTGCAGCAACGGGGACACATGGGAGAGGCGCGCTGGGTCGGATGGGTGGTGTTGACCAGCAGAAGGTCGAGAGGGACTATGAGCTGTTCTTACGAGAGTTGGAGGAAGATCCAGAGCTCAGAGGGAATGTTAACCTGTACAGAGCGGATGCGGGTGAGGCAGAGCACAAGAGAGCGGCAGAGGAGATGGACGTGGACGGAGAAGATGAGGATGAGGAGGCGGACTTCCCGGATGTGCAACTGAACGAGCTGCTCAACGACTTCGAGGATATGTCAATATCTGGGGACCCGGAGGTTGCGCATTAGATTATGTGCCTGCATGCAGTAGATGGAGCGGTGCAGTATCTGTTACATAGTGTACTATTTGCTCTTCCCTTTCTCTGATGTCTTGCCGCTTTCTGGGTCTGAAATATACGGCGCAGAGTCATCATAGAGCTGCGCGCGGAATTTCCAGGATGCAATTTCTTGCCTGCTACGTCCTTCGAGCACGAGATACTCGGTAACGCGTTTTGGTGGTGATTGTGAGGTTATTGCCCCTCCTGTTGGGGCGATTCGGCGACCTTTGGAATCCCGTTGTGGTGGGGGCAGCTTGACGACGGACAAGCTCTGCGAACTATAAGGAGGGTACCCCACAAATCGAATCCAACACATACCTGCATCGTCTCGAAGCGCATAAGTACATGTATGAGGAACACCTCGCTCCCATCCATAGTCGGCATGGTCACTTCCCGTATGGAGAGCACCTTTGTGGGGGACGCTTCCCCATGGAATTTCCATTCCATTTTCGTCCCTCGCCCAAGCGCCTTGTTACGTCGGATCGCGTCTTCCAAGAAGTCGTTCTGGCACAAAGCGAGCATGGTATTTCGGTCGCCTCTGGGCACATCGTCAGCATGAGTATTAGCGATGCGTGCAAAGCAGAGAGCATACTGGGCGATTGCCTCATTCGTCTTAATATACATGTCTAGCGCGTTCTCTTGCAAGGGCTTGAGCCACACATCTCGCTTTCCGAACCAGGTGTTCCTCCATCCAACAGGCTGATCACTGAATTTTATGAAAGGCAGTCTCTGGTTTCTCCCCAGATTCAATATTCTATACGTGGGTTAGCCCTATTGATGGAGAAACATTCGTAAGGCGCACGTTGTGTAGTTGGAAAACATGTCCACAACACGATCGGATAGCCAACGTGTGCGTCCACGTATAGATACTCCTTTCAATGAGCTCCACGATACTGGCGGCTTGACCGCTGATGGTCCATCGTCAACAACAGTTTGGACAAGTGTGGCTGTAAGACTCACCCAACAACGGGATCGCTATACCCGTATTCATTGGGTCATGGAACGGGTTCTGTTGACGGGCGGAGATGTCCACCAGCCTTCGTTCTTTCTCGATCGCCTTTTGCTGTTTCTGTGCCTCGAGATCGGCCGCACTGGGGGGCTTTGATGTTGATGTTGTGCGAGCAGTAGTCCCGGCCGCTGCGTAGTACCGCACATGGGGCAGAGGTTGTAGACATGACCGTCGGCAGATACCACCGATTTTGTAGAGTGAAGCAGACATTGGGCCAGTGCTTTGTCTGTTCTTCCCTGTTACAGACTTCGCTCAGGACAAGTAACAGTGAGTAGACAGTGTTTGGCGAAGACGACGTCGTCGACCTGGTGAGCTCAGGGCCCTAACAGACAAAAAGTTGCAGACGACAACTTGAACATCTCTGATCCCAAACCGAACTCTGACCTCTAATGAACTCTGTCTTCTATGATTTCCACGCTTTCTCTCTGGTGTTTACGCTATAACGCAGCGGATACGCATGGATAGCCAAGCTGAAGCCAGAGCAGACAAATGGATAATTCCCACTTGACAATGACCAGACGACCTGCAAACACTTCGAACGCCCGTTTCCACTGCGCAGCTCTCGTGTTCGAGAGGCACAACTCCCATCCCGTCTCCTATCCCGACACGCTATCGCCTTACATCCCACCTGCTCCATTCGCCTCATTATCAGTGAAATTCCACCCAAGGGTTGAAGAGTTTATCCAAATGCTTGGTAGCCGGAGGTATGAGCCGCGCCTCCCTTCCTCACCTCTATTCCTTCCCTCACCATCAACCCTCCAACCTCCAACAGCTCACCACCCGAACAACATGAACAACATAACACACAAGAGCCAGATATCGCCAGATGTCATCCTATCTAGTAGTAAGATGAAGTCCTGCACCCCAAGCCGGAAGAGTCGGATAGGGGCGGTGACTCATAACGGACATTATGCTCCCCCCTCGTCCGATTCTTCATCTTCAGATTTTCCAATCGCGCTTCCGAGTGCCTAACGGGCTAAAAATGCACTTGATTTGATTTGAGGAGTTTGCGAACCAACCATGAATATGTGGAGAGGAACGACCTCCGCATCCAGCCCTCCTGGGTCGTGCGTATAGATCACGTTCTTGCGACGCGTCCAATGAATGCACTGTTTACGTGTCCGAAATGGCAAGGTGGAGAGAATGTCGCATTGTCAATGTTTTCTCAGAACTGATTGATCCTTGCACAAGCTGAAAGGCTTTCCATAACATACAATTCACCAAGTTGATAACAATGGACACGTTGCTTACAGACAGCGCAATCACGTATGTAAACAGGGTGTATTAGCACAAAAGTACAGCAGTATGAGACAGACAAGAGGGAGAACGAGAAAACCCAACCGTGCCAACCACCTGCGATGAGAGTCAGATGAGGAACCATCAACAGACTATTAACTCACTTATTTCGTTGTGGTAGCAGAGGAAGAGAACTTCGTCACACTCTTGGTACCCTCAGAGATAGCGTGCTTGGAAAGCTCGCCAGGGAGAATGAGCCGGACAGCTGTCTGAATCTCGCGGGAGGAGATGGTCGACTTCTTGGAGTAAGAAGCGAGCTCTGCAAACAAGGTTAAGAGGAGTTGTATGCATAATATAAGAGCACGTGCTGGAAGCTTCACCGGCAATCCGCTCGAAGATATCGTTCACGAAGGAGTTAAGGATGGACATAGCCTTGTTGGAGATACCAGTATCGGGGTGGACCTGCTTGAGGACTGCAATCGTTGTGAGCTGTATGCTTCGAAAAGGGTAAGAGCCCGTACCCTTGTAGATATAAGAAGAGTAGGTCTCCTTGCGCGCCTTGTTTCTCTTCTTCTTCTCACCCTCAGCCTTGGGAGGCGCGGTGGTCTTTGCTGTCTTCTTTGCGCCCTCAGTGGACTTGGCCGGAGCCTTGCCAGCGGTGGAGGTGGGCTTCTTCTCAGCTGCGGACTTGGGTGCCATTGTAGATCGTCTGGGTGGGTTGGTAGAGGTGTAAGAAGGTGCAAGAGGTGTCGACGAGGACGCGAGGTGGTGGGATGTGATGAAGAGGATGGAGGGTGAGGGTGCGAGGTGACGCGGAGACTTTATAGGTCAGTCGCGCGTCGGTCGTGATTACGCACGAGCCACTTCCCTCTCAGTCGATAAGCGTGACTTGCTTGTTTGGTGCGGGACACGGGAGCAAACGGGTACAAATCGCGTGAGACTCAGTAACAACACGTGATGTGACCCATAGAGCGGGGGCTAAAGATGTAAACACTCGAAAGTAGGTCCGCTCGGGGTCTAATCACTCCATCCGCGCGTCTGGCATACAAATACGCGCGCATCGCAGAGCTGCTCTCCTCTCCTCATCCTCGTCCTCGACAACCGCCCACAACACTCACCGCGACACTTTTCGCCCCTTCAACCTCCTTCAACACATATTATCGAAATGTCTTCTGCAGCTGGTGGCAAGTCTGGTGGAAAGGCTGGTGGCAAGGCCGGGGCTGGTGGTGATGCCGTCAAGGCTGGTGCTTCCCGGTCTGCAAAGGCTGGTCTTCAGTTCCCTGTCGGTCGTATCCACCGTCTCCTCAAGCGGGGCAACTACGCCCAGCGCATCGGTGCTGGTGCACCTGGTGAGTGAACCTGTACTGTTAACCGATCAATAATTCATTCGTCTCCAGTGTACATGGCTGCCGTCCTTGAATACCTCGCAGCTGAGCTTCTTGAGCTTGCTGGCAACGCGTAAGTGGCCCTTATCAATGCGATATGAACACAAGAGCTCACCCCTTCCAGCGCCCGTGATAACAAGAAGGCCCGTATCGTTCCCCGCCATCTGCAGCTCGCCATTCGTAACGATGAGGGTGAGTCGTTATCAAACCTGCTTCGAAGCACATTCTGATTGGTTCCAGAACTGACCAAGCTCCTCGGCCACGTCATCGTCTCCGAAGGTGGTGTCGTTCCTTTCATCATGCCCGAGCTCCTGCCTACCAAGACAAAGAGCAAGAAGACCGCCGAGTCTCAGGATCTCTGATTTTCTCGCGCTGCTTTTCCCTACTCTTGTCTCCTGTCACAGTATATTTGTGCTCTAATTGTATTCTGTGGATTCCATCCATATCTGCGAACAACAGAGTACGAGTTGTACCATAATCGTGTCAAGTCCATGCCGCCTTCTAGTCCGCTGAAGTGTCGCCTCCACTCATTGTTCATGCAACTCGTGTCCCCCGTGAAACCAGTAAAGAAGATGTATGCGCTGCATACAATGCGATCCCTCTCCGGTTATTTCATTACAATCTGCGAGAACCGATCGTACATGTATCCAGGTACGCGACGCACCCTTGTTTACACCAAGTCTGGACGCGTCACGGGTCTAATAAAATCAAGGGCGCCGAAAGCGCAAAGCAGAGTTTGCCGCCGGAACACAAGAAACGGGAGACGCATGTCGGATGAAAGCCTTTGGGGCCAATGGATAGGCTACGTCATAAGGGGATGATACCCAGAGGACTTTAGAAGCTCAAATGGCGAACTGACGATCGGACAATCGGAAAGGATCAGGAACTGTCCTGCAGATACATAGTAGTCTCGCAGCTCGGTCCGCAAACGCGAATCAACCCGTTTTGTACATGACATCATTTCGCATCTTTGGGGCTCGAAGACCCGCGGAAAACGTTCGATCGTGCTTTCCGGTTGGGATATCCGACCGCCGGGAGAAAGGGGTTTCAGGTAATATGCGCGGGTTTGTTGTGTTTAGGGCGCGTTGAGCAGGGGGACGCGTTGGGCACGTGTTCTCTCGAGCGTTGTGGAGATGTGCACCGCCCACAACGTAGAGGAGAGAAGAATGACAGAAGTAGAGAAAATGCATTTGAGGCGAGTAGTATTACAGAATTGAGCTGGGAAAATAAATGGATGTTGTGCGAGACAAGTTAGTAAAAGCGACCCATGACACGAAACTGAATCTGGAGACTTTGTTGTACCTTGCCGAGCAGCACACTGTCACAGAGTCTCGCAAGTCAAAACGAGGGAATTCACACGGCGGCTTGGCAGATATAGACGACCGCCATGCCCAGCTCTTGATTGATGATATAATTATCAATGTAGACAACGAACTCGACATCCAAGACGATGAGCAGGCATTCCCCTCCAACGACGAAGATGGTGGTCAAGAGGGTGCAAGACGCGTCAAGGCGGGATAGATGGACATTGTTAGATCACGTGCACTGATTAGGCGGTGTTTACTGTGAACGGCTGATTACGGACGTATCTTCCCTTCGTGCGACCGCCCTATAAAGACTGAGCCCTTGCTCCCACTTCACAGCTCATCATCCCCTCCGCGACTCCCCTTACCGTCAACGACTTTCGACACCTTACCACCACCACCTCACTACTCCACTCGACATGGCCCGTACTAAGGTATGTCTACCCTCCCCTTCCCTCTCCAACCTCGCTAACCCACCCTCAGCAAACAGCCCGCAAGTCCACCGGTGGCAAGGCCCCCCGTAAGCAGCTCGCTACCAAGGCTGCCCGCAAGACCGCATCCAAGTCCGGCCCCACCACCGGCGGTGTCAAGAAGCCCCATCGTTTCCGCCCCGGTACCGTCGCGCTCCGTGAGATCCGTCGTTACCAGAAGAGCACTGAGCTCCTCATCCGCAAGCTCCCTTTCCAGCGTCTTGTCAGGTACGCTCTTTCCTCCTCACCATCCTCCTTCACAGCTAATGCGCATAATAGGGAAATCGCCCAGGACTTCAAGACCGATCTCCGCTTCCAGTCTTCCGCCGTGATGGCCCTGCAGGAAGCCGCTGAGGCGTACCTCGTCTCCCTGTTCGAAGACACCAACCTGGCTGCTATCCACGCCAAGCGCGTAACCATCCAGCCCAAGGATCTCCAGCTCGCTCGTCGCCTGCGTGGTGAGCGCTCGTGAGCGTCGTTGTCTGTGGATACTAGTCAACATCCTGTCTACATTCCCTTGTGCTATCATCCTGTACTACACCGGTCCTGTTTTATAATCTCAGATTCTTTACAAACAATCCTGTGTACAGCCTTGTATATGCACGCCGTTGACATTGCGTGCAAGCACAATCTCGGTCGGAGTAGCTTTGTGGTCCTCGATCGCGCTACCCGTCAAGTTCCATTGCCTCAATGATTCTGGTTCTTAAACAAGTGACGATACGCACGGACTAGATATCATTCAACTTCTGCATCAACTCAAATATACACAACAACAGTGATATCTAACGACAACAGTGCAGTCTTCAAGAGCGGGGTATACCATGTACGCAGTGCACAAAACCGCACTAGCTGCGGCTGATGTTCACCGTCAACCTAAGAATGATGAATACAAATCGACAATGTCTACAACTTCCGCCTGCTCCGTCAGCCAACCAGTCCAGTCATTCATCACATAACCAGAGTTGGACACCGAGTAGGCTCAACAAACCTGGACTCGCACTCTTGCCGCATATTTCGCTTCGAAACACAGTTAGCAGGCCGTCTGACCGAGCTTGCGCGTTCCGTCGGTCTGACCCCCCTGCGAGGTCTGCTCGATGACAAGGCCAGGTTCTGGGGGCTGAAGTACCCGGTTTGCTGGGATTTAGATATGGCGTCCCAGAGTATACGCTTCGCGGACTATGTTTTTGAAGGAGTGCTCCAGAAGTACATAAGCTGAATATTTGGTCGTGGTTGTTCGCTGTTCGCCATCCCAGTCATCTCATCGTACGAAGAGTCACGCATGTCGCGGATGCAGCGCTTGCCACACTGACAGGTGCGGCGACTCTGCTTTATATACATACATCTCGCTCAGGTTATCCTTCACAGCGAGATGGCGTCCAAAGCAGAACTAAAACGTCCCCGACTCGAAGACTCGGACTCCTATGCAGACCGTCCGTCTCCCAAGAGACCTCGCAGTGCTTTCGACTCGCAGCGGGATACTCAAGTGAAACGATGGATGCGCTCACAAGCGCCGTGGCTCGAATTTGTCCAACAGTTGACGAGGCTTGAGGAAGGCGATAACAATGCCGAACAGGAAAAAAGCCTTGTGGAAATCCTGCTGCTGCAGACTACCGAAGAGGGGGAGGAATTGTTACCCGAGTTGCAACACATCGGACTCGAGATTATGAGAGCAGTCCAACAAGACCTAGCAGTTTTCGCCATCGAACTAGGCAAGCTCTACGGTATGGGTCTATGTACCCTCCCCTCTGTCTGTCTGGCTTATGAGCTATTCCTAAACCGTCAGATGCAATTCACTTATCCAAGCCCGCAGCTTCTTTCAGAGACTGAAACCTGCCTACAGTTTCAGTCAGAGCCCAAGAACAGAGTACGTCTCTGTATACCTTGTGAGGACCACTGTCAATAACTGATGCAATGGTGCTGTTAGTCACGATCAAGTCCTGGTCTGCGGAATACGAAGGGGACGGGGTCAAGATTTTCCAAACCCACATTAGAAAGTGCAGTCGCATGATGACACAGCGTTCGGACCATTACGCCGCAAACTTCGTGGTCGCTAATTCTTCCGGCATGGGCAAGACTCGTATGATCGATGAATCCTCCAAAACGCAGTTCACCGTCCTTCTTGTGCTCAGGAATGCGAGGGGTGGTATGTCATCCTGCTGAGCAACATGAGACTGTAGTACTGATAAGTCCCTGGTCGCAGGTTTCCCTCCTCCAGACAGCGATGTGCTGGAATACTTTCTTTCCTCGACGAGGAAGAACAACTGCCAGACCGCCATTATATGCTTTCTCGCGACGCTGTACGATCAATTAGCCAAGCTGCTACAGGGCCGACAAGAAGAAGTGGGGCCGCAAAATCATGCTGAAATTGCAAGATGGTTTCGCGCGTACATCGTAACCTGGAGCGATATGTACAAACCCAGCCCGCAACGGATAGCGTTCTTCCAAAGGGTGGTGAAGAACGCTGAAACGGTCGGTATCACGTTGTTCTTCATGTGTGCCAGCGCATTCTTGCTTATTTACATCAGATGGTACAACGCGCCCTTGGAATGAACGGTTCTCGACGTGAAGAAGGCCGAGACCGGAATCAGCCTCCTAGCCTGTCTGATAAAGACGAATGGTGCAAGTCCTTGATGATAAATTCGTTCAAAATGCTCTCACGGCTTTTACGGCATGACGAGACATCGAGGCTACCAAGTGTACTCCTCGCATTTGACGAAGCTCATACATTGTTAATTCCGAGTCACAACGCCCAAGCAAGAGCTCCAGCCTCGTCCATCTACACAGTGTTGTGCCGAGTGTTGCGCTATCTAAAGGGCGAACCACACATGGCTTGCTTCGTCTCAACTTCGGGCAGCGTCGTGGAGTTCGCAGCTCCCATACGATTGGATGCATCAAGCCGGATACACGAGGGACTGTCTTTGAACTTGCCACCGTTCACCACATTTCCCTTCAACATGGCACAGATACAACCGGAAGAGATGGATTTGCAGGTGGTGGGCAAAGAAAGCTTCATGTGCAGGCAGTCTAGGATACTGTAAGCGTTCTTCCTCCTTCTTGAACACCAGCTCATTTGGCATGGTATGAAGGTTTCGCGGACGGGCTGAGCACGGCGTCGACCCTGGGCTGGGCGATTTGTCGGCATTCGCAGAGCAGAAGCTGCTCGGCAGTACAGATCAATTCCATCACGACTATGATCAAAGGCTGGCCATTTTAGCACGACGCATCCCGATCGATATTCGCACGAACACGGATGCAGGAGCCCTCCAGTCGATTAATCGGCAGATTGCTCAGCACATGCGTGTACTTTACGGAATAACAGGTGAAAACAAAACACTCATTACCGGATCTCCGAGCGAGCCAATCCTTGCTGAGGGCGCCAAAAATGCAATGAACTTTGAACGTTTCCAGGAAGCATATGCGCTCAGAGATATCTTGACATCTCCCGGAATCAACGTGGGTGAAAGGGGCAAGATGGTGATCGAGCTCCTTCTCATTGTCGCCAGCGACGCTGCCACAGGATATGGCAAAATTTTCCATTCCAGCCTTCTTCGAGTGCCTGCTCACCGATGCCTCCTGGCTGAAGCTCAAGACGTCCCAAGCATCCCGTGGTGGAAGATTCCACACCAAGACCTTTGAGGAGACATTCCAAAACTCATTCGGAAATTTTAATCATATCGTGAAGCTCCATGGCGATGTCCCGGGGTCGGAATTTTGGTACAGGTTTCTTACGAGACGTGTGGCTGCTTCCACAAAGTTCAACCGAATGGGTATCGATGCTGCTTTCCCCCACACTATCGATGGGACGAAGATCGCACCAGATAACACGACCTCTACGGTGGTGCAAACCAAGGCTGTGGCCGATATGCAAAGCCCATCCAAAAAGGTGTTTGACAGGATGGACAGCGTTGTGCGGGAAATGCACGAATCTGATGAGATTAATTCAACATCCAAACCCAAGCCTGTTAATCGGGTGGTCTTCTCGTTGAAGTCCCACGAGAAGGATGTGACCGTGATGCGATACGAAGATCAGCACAATGACCTGTTGACGTGGGACATCTATGTGCCTTTCGCGGCACTTAGAGCTGTTGAGAAGGACCCCCTAAAGTGGACGGACGTGCTGGACACGGAATTGCGAGTAGAAAGGATGTACGGTGGTGATGTGGCCTTGATGGGGATGGACCCTGCGTCTGACAACAAAGACGCATATTGGCCAAATTGGGCACCAACAGCAAGGGGGACGAGCGACGATGCAGGCAATGCAGGCGATGACATAGATGTATGTTGAGCAAGAGGGTGAACACAAAGGCGAAGTGAGTGGGAGAGTACGACACCGTGAGAACAACGCTGCCCGTTGTTTATGTTACATGAAACTTGGCGAGAGTGCTCATCACGCTCGTCATCCTAATCAATCACAGTGATAACAACTACCTTCGCATCACAGGCGCGACTATTGTGATTACAGGTTTGATTGGCAGTGATGAGAGAACCATAATCCTGGCGCGGTTCTACAGTCGAGCTTCGGTCAAAGGCGGCGTTCTTGATGTCTATGGTACTAGAGGAGCGTTGGTATGTCCACTCAGTGAGAGACGGTCAAAGTGCGACGGGGTGCATCATGTAGGCGTCGGCTCTTCTAGCTTCGTATGTGCGGAAAGGCCTGTCAGCTTGAAATTGTCCGTCTTCCAAAGAGATACTGTCAATCCCCAAACCCGAGATTCATACACCTCGCGTCAATGAGGCCATCTAACATATGAGAGATTCCACCACACCTAAAAAGGCAGCCCAAATACACACAATCATCGTGACACCAACCCTACTCACCCTCCTGCTCTCTGCGCTTGTTCACCAGCCTCTCCCTCTCAGCACGCCTCACCCGCGCCAGTATGAAGCGCCGAGTTGAGCAGACTCGATGTATCCATTTTCTGAGGTTTGGTCAGCCACGGGCTCGCTAGAACAAGAACGGACGTACGGATTTGGATGTTTCTTCGGGAGGGTCTCCCTACCATACTATGCAGGTGCACCAGCAGCCCGTTCCACCTTGGAACCGTCTAGTCCCAGAGCGTGCTTCCTTCCAGTCTGGCCCGCCCTTAGATCCCATTGTTGCCTCAAAGGCTGGACGACCGTATTTCCGCCCTGGTTCTTCCCTTCCTTTTCCTTGATATCTCGAGGGAGTGCGAGAGATGATGCCGTTTCGATCGGTCGGAGGGAGAAGAGAGCAGCTAGAGGGAGGAAGCAGCCAGTGAGGGGTAGGCAAGATAGTCGTAAGAACAGGATGAGTTCCATAGGAGGAATGTTCCATCAAATGCACAAGGCAAAGGTGGAAACGTATGCCTCTGCCTCCAAGCAAGACGTTCTCTCCCATATTTCATCAGGGCAGTGAAGAGCCAATCAAATGGTAGAAGATTAGTCAATAGTACGTGTATCTTACACTCGAGTCCATGGCCCAAGCTTCCCTCTAGTGTAAATATCCCCCGATCCATCCTCACTTCCTCCGTACTCTGCTCGGGGTTATAATAGTACCACTGCGAGCAGAAGTAGGCACAGAACGATAATAAGGAAGATGATGCAGTATCCCGATTTCGTCTCTATCTCTCAATCAGCACAGCCCTTATAACGAGATACGACGGGGAGAGAAAGGGGCAGACGTACGCTCCTGCTGTCGTATGAACCGGCGAAGCTTCGTCATCGCCCCTCCAAGCTTGTTGTCCGTCCGGTCCACACCTCGCTCCAAATCGTCCAGCATCCTATATCAGTCAGCTCCTCCTCTCATCTTCACTAGAAAGACACGCACTCATTATGTTCTCCCACTTCTCTGCCTATCAGGCCTGCTTGGGAAGCGAGCGTATTCAGCGTCCCGCTTATGTAGTGCAGTGTCGTATCCTGTTGCTGGACGAGCATTTGCTGCTCTTCCCTCGCCCATGCGGCTTGGTCGTCTTCTGTGCCTGGCGTTGGTGGGTCAAGAGGGTGCGTGGGTCGAGAGGCTTGTGCTTGTGCTTGCAGTTGGGAGGTGTATGATGGTGGGCGCGAGAGTCGGGATGAGAGGTCCGCTCGCATCGTCTACGTTCCTGAATCAGCACTCCGCAAAGCAAGAAATAGACCAGACGCACATCAATATCCTTCCTGACCTCCTTCACATACCCTCTCCTCCCCTGGAGCTCCCCCTCACTAATCCCGAACCTCCTCGCCCCCGTCTCCTCCACAACCCTCACACTCCCCTCCAGTTCCTCCAAATCTGCTTCGAGAGCAGCGAGCGTTCCCCTCAGTTCATCTTCTACCTCCCGTAGTTCCTGCGACTTTTGACCGGTGGAAAGGGCGCGTATCCGCTGGAGGGACGAATGCAGTGTGTGCGCGTGGGAGAGGGACGACGCTAGCTCGGTGCGGAAGACATCATACGGATCTTCGGACATGTTGTACTAGGTATGCGAAAAGAAATCAAAGAATGGTATGGGTCAAGCTTCTAGCAGGATGATATATGATATGCACAGAAAGAGAGAGCGTTGAGTGATGACTTTGTTATATGCGCTCCTCTCGACGACGCCTAATCGACGCTGCGCGTTGGCCACTTCGCTCCACGTCCCTTCCGCAGGCGGAAAAGCAGCGCCTCCGTTTCCGCCGGTTCTTTTGTTGCTTCTGCTTCTGCTTCTCTTATGGTGTTGCTGTCTGCGCAATATTGTCTGACAGCTTGTTTGCAAAAGAAATATATGGAATACTTCTAAAAGCTGTGACAACATCGAATAGACTTGTACTGTACATGCGGGGTCGCAGTGGAAGTTTCTCGGCAGAAGCAGCTTCTCACTGTGTATCCATCAAAACGCCACGTCAGAGTTCTGTATTGCTGTCAGGCTTGTGTTCAACCTCCATCTGCACTGTCATGTCTGCACAAAATGCTCTCCGAATTTCTGCTCAAAAAGAACATGCTCTGCAGCTTCTGTGCGGTCCAGTTCAAGACCACAGGACCACAACGCACCTGCCGTCGCTGTGACGATATCGTATTGCCAGCCCTGGGGACCAACGTACTTCATCCGAAGGATTTGATCTCGGCAATCTGTGCGTTATTGTGACCATGCTCACTGGTCGATCATTGATCCGTTGTGCTCTTCCCAGACGATTATGAAGATGGAGATATACTTGAAATCACCTATCCCTGGGTATGTTGATGAATTACGGCAAATGTATAGGCTGTTCTGACGGTCTCTAGATCCAAGTCATACGGAACAAAAACCAGATCTTTTCTTCCCGTTTGGTTGCTCTGTACGTTCCTCAGCTAATTAGGGATGTTGTTCGCATGGTCGAGCGGGACAAAGATCCGACTAAGAGGATTGACGGCGCCATGCGAGAACAGCTCGATGCCATCCTCACCGTTCTGGGATTGGTTTCCGGGAGCTCCCCATATTTCGCGCGTATCTTGGTCTGTGATAGCAGTGCACTGCCCGAAGTGAACTCGGTGGCATCCGCAATCACGGCATATAATCTCAACCTTCATCAACTTTGGAGCACAACTACCCGCGCAGCCCGCCTAACCGGGAACTATATGATCTTGCCATACATGAATATCCTCTTCAAAATAATCGAGAGCATATATTATGTGTTGTTCTTCATCCTTCGGATCCAAGTCGAGAATGAGGCTGTCTGGGCTTCGATGCAACCCATGATGTCCAAACTTACAGAAAATTTGACCCTTTGGAGCGATGAAGACCCGGGAGTGTTTGCTATGTCCCTCAGTCTATGCCTACGTCAGGAGGAAGCCGTGCAGTCAGCAATCACGTGGAGAGACGAGAAGCTTGGGAAGGCCCGTTGCGGATTGCCTCATTGCACCAAGACTGCTCAGCTGAGACTCTGCACTCGGTACGTGACCAACATGTCAGTAGGGAATCGGCTCTAACAGCTTGGGTCTACACGCAGCTGCGGGACAATTTCCTACGTTAGTGTCTCTCCCTTCCGGTGGTCAATACCTGACGGTTGTGCAGTGCTGCGAGGCGCATCAGAAAGAACACTGGAACTACAGTACGGATCCCCATCGGGTGGTCTGCTATACAATGGCTCTCTAGGCCTACTTAGCAGATCTCTCGTTTGTGGATGCTGTACTCGTGTTCCTTTGAGTTTGCGTGGCCTGACTCGAGTCGGTTCCTTGATATCGCTCACTGGTGTGAACTCATGTGGCACAACAAAGTCTTCTCTAGGCAGGTGCATCACATGAACAGAATGGTTGCGATACCTTTATATACATAACAGCGCCTATTATCCCACCACATTATCCACAACCTCCAACAATACCTCTTTCGAAAATTGAGTAGTCTAGGCGCAATACTTATGTCTATCGATGTCTATGATAGCTATCTGTCTCTATGAAACTCGTATCAGCATCTATGGTTGCTCCGGCTCAGAGTATCATGGGGAACAGCTCATGAAACCGAGTCCACTGAGTGTCGTCTATCGCACGGATAAGCACAACCAACAAGCACGGGGCAAACACGAACACAACCCACCAGAATCTATGGAAGTGCAGAACCTCACACCGCCCTTGGCACATTCTGCTCGAAGCCCAAAATACCTCACATCAATGTTCCTCATCGTTCCCTCGTCTGCGTCCAGGGGTTTATGTGCCCATCCCGTACCCAAGTGCGTGCCAGACACGAGCAGTTCGCTGATCAGCTCCAAGGACGATAAGGACGTCTGGAGCGTCTCGAGAAACCGGTCACTCATAGGTTGTCCGTCAGAGAAGACCACCTTGTTAATCTGAAGCCTACGGAGGGTAGGTGGAAGCGCCGGGATGAGGTCGGAATTGGAAGAGGTGATAACGAGGTGCTCGAGATGACGACATGAGTGGAGAGTTGCTGGTTGGAGAGTCGCCTCTTCTGCAGTGTCCAGGGCAAGCGAACGCAACCCCGACACATGCCGCTGCAGCACTTCTTCAAGCCCGGGCTCGATCATGCTCATGCTCAATCCCAAGACCTCCAAAGATCCCGCGGAGTGGGCGAGGAACGCCCTGAGATAGGTTGGCGAGATACATCTCCACGGGCAACCGAGCACGAATTCCCGAAGTCGGAAGGTGAACGGCGTATCCTGAACTGAAGGCATCGGTCCCACAGCATTAAAGTCATGGATACAAAGCCGCTCCAACGTCGGCATCTTGCGTAGTAGCTCATGCAGTGCTTCCCAACTCGATTGTCTGCTCATCTGGACGGTGAAAGATCGGACAGAAGGGAAGTTGCTCGGGACGTAGGTCGATGGTGGAAGGTAGGGCAGGTTGAAGCCTGGGCCCATGTGCACCGTCTTGAGGTTCGGGAGCTGGGATAAGATGTCGGCGACGTCCCTCCTACCACCCGGTCTGAAAATTGGACCAGAAAGTACGAGAATGCGTGTCGTTTGCTTGAGCTCGACACTGCGCGTCGTATTCTGGCCAATAGCACGTAAGAAAGCAAGACGGGCATCAAACGTCCCCAGATCGACATGATCAAACAGTCGATACTGGATGTACGTTGCCCAAGACCGACAGACGAGGCAGAGCTGCCTCAGCTCTCGATAGGCCGGCCATGCTCCGCCAGCGGCAGCGTTGTATCGCGTGTCGCACCGTGGGACTGCCAAATCCAGGATCTCGCACATGACTTCGGCAGACAGTACAGCCATTGATCTTCGCGAACCCTCTAGGGGAGAATCATGAGCAGATATTAAATTGTATACTGTCTCTTAGAAACATACCGAATCTTTGCCGGGGCGTGTTATGTCGAGCCACAGGTACAGGTACAGGTACGACGACAGCAGCGAGCTGGTCGCTGGTCGTCGATCGAGAGGCATGGGGCGATTGATATCCATCAGGCCGCGGAGCATACCGGATAGCGTTTTTTACTGCACCGCCAGTCTTATCTTTGCTGACAACGAGCAGCACGCGGCCGCACGTGATAAGACGTCAGATTGCAAGGAGGTGTGCTTCTTGAACTGGAACGAAGGATGATGGCGCGAGGAAGGGACTGTATGCCTTGAGGATGAGGTCGCTTGCGGAATGGTGGATCACATATGGAAGGAGGTAAGGAGTTCGGAGGGTTCCGGCATTCTGAAAGTCCATACGCGGGCTACTCTCGATATTCTGTCCGGGTTGAACGAGTAGCTGAAAAAGAGCATACACCTCCAACAGCTATGTGGAGGGCATCGATCGGTACTGGACTATGCTGACAAGGCGGCACTGAAGAACTAGGAAAGGGAAAAAGGTGAACAAGTATAGTGTATGCGTATAAAAGCGAGGGATATGCGTACATGCGCGACGATCATGTATGTGTGATATCAGAACAGGCGGTCTATCGTTCCTCAAGTTACGTACACCTCCGGCATCCAAGTCATACTCTCGCCAATCAAGCTCTCCTCTCAAACGCCGCCAACCATCTGTCAATCTGTTCCTCACTAGCATCTCGAATCTCTTGCAAGCTCGTTATATGCGGCTACCAGGTGTGTGAGAAGAGCGCCATAGCCAGACGAAAGGGGGGACGTGAGACGTACGACCTCCGCGTCCGGAACTGCAAAAGGCCCGGGAACCTTGACGTATGGTTTCACGGACCCGTCTCCACAAGTAGAGTTGTACGTCTATGATGATCAGACCGAGGCTTTTGGGAAGGAAGGAAGCGTCTCACCCGAGCAGAGTGCACCTCGATATTATGCAAGCTTTTCCGGATCTGGTCCATCTGGCGTATTTCATGCAGTGTATCGTCCCTCAGATGCAGGAGCTCATCCGAGAGCTCGTGGTGGTGCTGGTTGAGATGTACAAAGAGGCCGATAAGGAGGGCGTGGATGTAATGGAAAGCGGGAGCGGGAGAGGGGATGGGAACGGGGTCCGGATCTGCGGGCTGTTAGTTGTGTGGAAGGGGAGGATTGTTGTGCATACAGTCCAGTTTCCTGAGTTGGTCGATGACTTCCGCCTTTCAGGAAATAGCACGCAGCGCTTGTTGTTCCGTCAAGCCACGACGATCCGGTGCATCTAACAGATCAAAGGAGGCAGAAGACGGGAAGAGAGCGCATACAGTAGAGATTGGTCACGGCCTTGCTATATGCCTTCACGTTGCGCACATCGTCCATCGTTGGAGGGTCGTGAATGACCGGGAGGGGGATGTCCGCACTCTGATAGGGATCTCTGATGCTGACAGGGGCCATGGTAGTTGTTAATGACTTAAGTGGAATAGGATACTGTACGGAAGATGGACGGGGGGAAGAGAGGTATATGTCTGGGGATCGAGCGCGTTCCGTCTATATATGAGGGCGGCCAGAAGAAGACAGAGATCGAAGACAGAGGTTGGACGCGTCGCCGCACGTGAGCGTCATGGGTCAGACAAGCCATGATCGCCAGGTGATGCTCGAATGACATCAATCGGGAACACCCATAACCAACTTTCCGAAGCAGATGGCCAACTCTACGCTTGCTTCTTGCTTCTCCGCGGCCGGATTCCAGAGCCTCCACGGATCGTTCCGATCTGGCCCTCCCGGAACAGACCGGTCTGACACTATCCTTCTCTCCCAGCGCACGCCATACGTTCAGAAGCTCCAAATACAATGCCGATGGCCAATGGCCGGTCGATAGCGCAAACCCGGAGGACCGCCGGGGAGGGGGGCTGCGGCGGCTATAGACTCAGGGTATGAAAATCATTGATCGGGTATGATCGAACGTGATCGGCTTGTGATCGGCGGGGATGATTGAGGGGCGGGAGGGGAACGGACGGCGCAACCCGCTGCGTCGCGTCGGCCGCGGAGTCGGGTCTTTGCCGTTGTGCCGGCGTGTCTGGACTCCCAGGGACGAATGTATAACTAGTCTCATTGATGATTCCAAAACATATCCACGCCTCAAGTCTTGGCTAGCTGAGTTAGACCAGAACCCGAATCGCAAGATGGACAACCGCAACTTTGCTCAGTATGCCAAAGGGATTGCAAGTGCCGGACTCTTTCGCCTAAACGAGCTGGCAGTGCTCGAGCAGGCCGAACTTGTCGACATATACCATTCTGCTGACTCAGCGCATTCCCTGCCAAAGCTTGCCCGAGGAACTGCTGCAGTCCTACTGGGCTTTGCCAGAAAGGACGTATATACAGCAGGCAATCAGTAGACTAAAAATTTCTTTATTCCGTACATATTACACCTTGTTGCTGCAATGGAATCACCATTGTGACCCAAACATTGATTCAATCCGTGAATTCCTCGATAACGTCTTCGTAGTCATCATCCTCGTCCCCAGTTGCAGATCTGCCTGGCCCCTCATCGCCGCGAACTAACCACTCATCTCTTACCCTGACAGCAACTCGGCATAGTTGTGGTCGAGGAGGAGGAACTCGAGGTATCACCCCTAAGTTGGCCGTGTCAAGATAGGCAGGGATCGGACCAAGGAGTTCGTAGCTTTCGGGGCCGCCCAGCTGGAAGACATGAGAGGAACATGTTGGCCTGAGGGACGTAATACATCTGCAGATGAGAAATGGTCGTGGCAAAGCACGAGGCTGGCTCGAGTGCGTTCAAGCGGCGGAGTCGTTGGTAGAATCGCGAGGGTGAGCCAACGCCAGAGTACATCGACTTTTGGGCAAAGGCTAGGCCAGATCGTTGCATGACATGGATGACACGAGAATACCAAGCACCTATCCCATGCGAACACTCAGTGAAGGATCGTAGCAGTTCTCAAGTGCACATACGGGTGTCTCGCGCCCCAGCCCATCGGGGGATCCTCTACAAGAGCGGCAGTGTCGAAATCGTATGCTATCCCGTAATGGCCGTAGGGCAAATGACTTAGCCAATGCGGCAAACCAGGTTCTGACAATGACGTTAGTATTATCAGTAACGAGCCACACAAACACTGACCAATGCGGGCCATTTACTCGAGTGGTGGTAGTAACAAGCAAAGGCTGGTAGGAGACTGAGAATGCGGACAATGGGCACCTGCTGGCAACCTCCACCCGGGAGTTGCCGAAGAAACACGACGAGTCATATACAACATTGATCCATCCACTCCTATTACACAAACAGACAAAGAGAAACATGTGAAGGAAGCATATGCTATTGAAGGAGGTTGCTATTCGACGAGACGGCTCGCATACCAGTCAAACAGCTTGGCTTTGGTGAGTAGCTGAATATTGTCTGGATGGCCCACAGTGACAGCGAACCTCGTCTGGATGCCAGCAAGACACAGACAACATGGTAGGAAGGTAAGAACAGACGTTTCAATCGTGGGTTTCTTCATCCACTCATCCAGCCAGACCTGGATGAAATCACGAAGCTTGACCAGCTTAGGCATGACGCAATTCACATCGCCCCGCTTCGCTGCATTCCATTCCCAGTCGCCAGAGCGATGGTCGATGAAGTCGACCCAATCATGCTGCGCGTTCCTGTACACCTTCTTCAATCTGCGGCCGGTCAGCGGCCACTCGAAAGGCAACTTCTCGACAATGGATGACCATTGAATATGATTCACGGGAGAGAGTTCGATCGCAGGGTTGTTCCAAGCCGGATGAGTGCATCCATTGTTGTGGAGGTGGTGGTTGTTGTGAAAGGGAAGACGTGATGATTGGCACTGTTTTCATCCGTTTGCACGCCCATTGTCACGTGATTGATGCTTTTTTGGGCTCACAACGGACTCCCCACATCCCTCATTGTATTGGACACTTAGGTCGATTCAGAATCAACGATCAGATTCAACCGTTGATTCAGTATCTAAGTGGTTACATGGCAAAGAGCCGGAATGAAATGTGAACAGTTTGAACTCTACGACAAACTTTGGCGAGAAGGAAGAATTAGAGGCAGTTTCCGGACTGCCGATGGGCCCTATCTCGATCTCGGTATGGTGTGTATTTGTTGAAAGAGTGCTAGATGGAGTGAGTACTCTTAGTTTGGCTGATTGAAGATTGTCCGAGAAGTTGTACGCTTTTCCGTAATAGTTGAAGACGGGAGAAAGATGTGCCATGATATGAGAATTGAATGGGTGTTGAATGAAGAGAACGATTATCTTTCTATTGAATGATTAGCTATCGGTGCGATCGTGAGTATGGCGGACCGCGAGGGGATGCCCAGTGAACGGAGAAGACCGGGTGGAGGAATGAGCCGAAGTAACCCGAGAAGCCCCAAGGGTCGAAATAACCCCGCATTAACCCGTTCTGCCCCGCGTGTGGCGCGTCTAAAGTAATGTTCAAACGCGCCTGATCTGGTCACACCATCCCATTGACTGTCAAAAGACTAGACAGATGAGAACTCATCACGGGCGTATATATAACCCATGTCTGGGAGGTTGAGAACGGTCGAGCCTCTTTTCTTTTCCCCTTTCCGTTTTCATCCCTTGATCCACCCTTGGAGACTAGCCAGAACAGCTCACGCGACTTTAAGCTCCGGATCAACCGATCGTCACTAGGCTTCTACTCCCGAGACCGTACTTAACCCGCACACATTCTGCGCTAAATGGCTTTCTCCAATCCCCTCCTTGGTCACTCTCGTCCAGTTTCATCCACAAACCTCGCAGCAATGTACAACACAGGATTCAGCTTTGATGAAGAGGCTACCAACCCTTGTGAGTTCATAACCCACCCCTCGTCGCATCTACCTGACAGACTGCAGTCTTGGACCGTGACCTCAAGTACTTCTCAGAGGCCGGTTTCGACATGGAGCGCATCCATCTCCGTCGTAACGCTCCCGTTGCTCAGCTGTACGAGGAGGCCATTCGCAACGAAGGCGCCGTCCTTGCCGACTCGGGTGCGCTGATCAACTTCTCTGGGAAGAAGACCGGTCGCAGCCCCAAGGACAAGCGTATCGTCTATGAGGAGACGAGCAAGGATCAGGTCTGGTGGGGACCCGTCAACATCAAGATGGACGAGCGTGAGTGCCTTCCCACCTGATACACAGCGGATACTGAGTGTTCCCCTCAGACACCTTCGAGATTAACCGTGAGCGTGCGATTGACTACCTCAACACCCGCGACCTTGTCTACGTGTTCGATGGTTATGCCGGTTGGGACCCCAAGTACAGGATCAAGGTCCGCGTGATCTGCGCTCGCGCATACCATGCGTTGTTCATGGTGGGTTTGACTTTCTCCCCATGATGACTCTTCTCACAGTTTGCAGAACAACATGCTTATCCGTCCTACTGCTGAGGAGCTCAAGACCTTCGGCGAGCCCGACTTTATCATCTACAACGCTGGCCAGTTCCCTGCCAACCGCTTCACCACCGGCATGACCTCGACCACTTCCGTCGAAGTCAACTTCAAGCGTATGGAGATGGTCATCCTCGGCACGGAATACGCCGGCGAGATGAAGAAGGGTATCTTTAGCGTGATGCACTATCTCATGCCCGTCAAGTTTGGCCAGCTTTCGCTCCATTCTTCTGCTAACGAGGGCCGCGAGAAGGGGGATGTCACTCTCTTCTTCGGTCTGTCTGGCACTGGCAAGACCACCCTTTCTGCTGACCCTAAGCGCATGCTTATCGGCGACGACGAGCACGTGTGGTCCGACGACGGTGTCTTCAACATCGAAGGTGGCTGCTATGCCAAGTGCATCAACCTGTCCGCCGAGAAGGAGCCCGAGATCTTCAACGCGATCAAGTTCGGTTCCGTGCTCGAGAACGTCGTCTTCGACCCTCGTTCCCGCAAGCCCGACTACGACGACGTCTCCATTACGGAGAACACGCGTTGCGCGTACCCGATCGAGAACATCCCCAGCGCGAAGATCCCCTGCCTGTCCGAGCGCCAGCCAAGCAACATCATCATGCTCACGTGTGACGCGTATGGTGTCCTCCCGCCCATCTCCCGCCTCACCCCCGAGCAGGCGCAGTACCACTTCATCGCTGGCTACACCTCCAAGACCCCTGGCACGGAAGACGGTGTGCTCGAGCCCATCCCGACCTTCTCCACCTGCTACTCAGCGCCATTCATCATCCTGCACCCCTCGCGCTACGCGAAGATGCTCGCCGAGCGCATGTCGAAGCACAAGACCGCGTGTTACCTGATCAACACCGGCTGGACCGGTGGCAAGTACGGCCCCGAGTCTAACCCCGCTTCGGGCAAACGCTGCCCGCTCAAGTACACCCGTGCGATCGTCGACGCCGTCCATGCAGGGTACTTCAACACCCCCGAAGCAGAATTCGAAAAGTTCCCAGTGTTCAACCTCAATATCCCCAAGCACGTCCCTGGTGTGCCTGACGAGCTCCTGAACCCTGCGCGCGCGTGGCGTGATCCGGAAGCGTTTGAGCGCGAGTGCGAGAAACTGGGCGGGATGTTCCAGAAGGCTTTCCGCGTTTACTCGGATGTGGTGAGCGAGGAGGTACGCAACGCGGGCCCTATCATCGACTGAGTCGAGCCTGGCTCTGGCTCGGGCGTCGAACTCCAGTCCAAACGGACGGAGGGACGGACGAACGGATCGGATGGGAAAAAATGGGGAAAAGAAAGGAGAAGGGGAACGTAGGGCTGCTTGGGCAAATACCCTCGCTTAGCCCGGGGATTGTAAACTTACACTTACCTTGCAACACTGACGATCCACACGCGGATCTATGAATTCCACTTTCTTTGTATACAACAACAGTCATGCGCTCGTTGATAATGAACTCATTTGCACATGATTCTTTGTGGTGATCGAGCGGAGGAGCGGTGCTAAGGGAGCAAGATTGTCCTACAATTAATTGATCTTAGTGCAGAGGACGTGATTTGGTACGACGATCAAGCAACTTTCTACGACGCATTCCTCTTTGACGACCAGTATAGGTTGTAGTATGCGAGTACAATGAAAGACGAAAGGGAATACAGCAGGAAGATGAGTTGTACACGGATGGAGATACATGATGCCACAGATTGCTGGATCTATGCTTATCACCTGCAACATATTAAGAAGTTGTCCAGATACGGAAGACGAGGAGAACTCACACGATGCGGACCGTCACATGCTGGACCATCTTCCGTACAGAAGCGACAACACGGTCGAACCCATCCCAAGCATAACGCGCGGACCACGAGTCAATGATCACGACGTCAAGACAGTCTCTTGTCCGCTCGGGATCAAGCCCCTCGATCAAGTCTGGCAGTCCGGCGAATACACGACAATGGGAGAGGATGAGCTTCCTGAAATCATAGAGGTAGTCAACAGGTTAGAATAGGTAGCCAGATAACACCTGAGCAGTGATCCCAAACTCTTCGACCATAGGCATGAGCTGCAACAGTTGTAAGAGGGTCTCCACGGTACAAAAGTCTTGGGTGACGTGCAAGCGACGCATTCGGCCTAGCTGGGGCGCAAGCAGGTTGATCACATCCTCTTCCTCGTCTTCCCCGAGTAGGTCTTTGATCGCTAGATTTCGGGGAGCGCAGATGAGATGAGTGGCGATGACTGGTGCAAGCTTGCCGGACAAACTCATGTAACCGAGGGAAGGCAGATTGGCGTAGTGCCGGCGCTCGTTGATAATTTTATCAGTAGGTAATGGTTCGCCTTTCGGGGTGTGCCATTCGTGGAACACGAGGGTGCGAAGACGGCGACATCGGGCCAGCGCGTTGAACAGGCTTTTCATCCAGGTTTGTGATCCGGAGACCTCCAATCCCACCAACTCAAGGGTTTGTAGCTTGTCGTAGAACATAGCTGGCAGGATGAATCCACACGTCACATTGGAATGCAAGCGCAAGTCGAATGTTTCGGCACGGAAGGCTAGACGGTCTAAGACTTTGATAATACCTTGTCGATTCTCCATAGTCGCGCCTGTGGTGACGCGCACGTGCGCCTCCAGTGGCAGGATACCAGACAGTTCCAGCGTAGTCTTCAAGTCTTCCTCATGACTCGGTGTGGGACTTGGAAGCGTGACCGTGAGATATGTCCAAATTCGCGGAGTGGCAAAGGCGACTCGGCGCCATTGAGCGCAGACCTGGGTCAACGTCCAAGCACGCGAACGGCCTTTGGTTCTGAAATGAACCGTCTCGTCTTTCCGGAGCATCTCAAATATGATTACAAGGGTGTCATCAGTGAGACGAGAGATGTAGCATTGAAGTGTCAATGATCGGTGTTGAGGAACGAGTAGTTGTTCGGTTGCTTCGCTTAAATATGTTTCTATCTCCAACATGGAAGGACGGGGAAACTCTGCCATCTAACACGGCGAATGTCAGTTATTTCCTTGCACGATTGTCAACTTGGAGATCGTACAGAGCATCTGTGCTCTAGGGCATAGCCAAGGTCGTCGTTGCCAGCGTCAATATCACGATAATCACTCACGTGCTTTTTATCAGGGTCCGATGTTATTATTGAACACGTTTCCATAACAGTTTCACCATACATGTACAGTTACCAGTTACCAACCTAAGATCTGGTGTCGGGTGAGATTGAATACACCGCGTTTCCCGTTTCCATCGCCCGAGGCTTGTAAACTGAAAATATATATAAATGCAATGCTTCCAAGCCGGCGTTTCATGCCGCACCGCCTTGCGTAACATCTCCCGTTTCGACCACTATACACATGTCATATCTTATAACGAGGTGTAGTTGCAATCCTAATTTCCCCTCCTTCCCGAGCTGGACTCTCCTGCTATACTCGTTATACCCATACACCAGCTTGTGGTCCATCTAAGCTCCACCCGTTTACGCGTCGTTCAGGAAAAGTGCGCGAGATGTCTTTCGGCCTCGGCATCCTCAACACGCCCAACACTGCAACATACGCGCCTTTGCGAAATGAGGACGACGGACACGCGCGAACACCGTCATATGGCATGGGGCTGCCTTCAAGGCCCTCTATAGAGCTCTTCTCATCGTCTACAGTAAGGGACGACATCTTCAATGAGAAACAGCGTCGACGTCTGAAGGACGACGAGGACGAGGGCGAATTCGAGGATGAACACCTGGATACGCCGCTGATAGGAACAGCAACCAGAAATGGTCGCTTCGTGGAAGATGGTCCTGAGGATAAAAGTGGAGACGAGGACGATGAGGGTCGATATACAGAACTGCCCAAGGTCGTGCGAGAAGTCGTGGACTTCGACGATGATCCTTCGGAGCTGACTATGACATTCCGGTGCGCATCGCCCGTAGTGATGGTAACCAGATGCTGATCAAGAGAAACTTAGGTACTTTATCCTCTCGTCCTTTTTCGTTATTATGGGCGCTTTCCTCTCCCAGATGGGTTGGTTTCGAACAACTCACGCTCCCTTCTCGACATTTATCGTGGCGATCGCATCGCACTACTTCGGAAGATGGTGGGAGCAACTAATGCCAAACTGGAACATTCGCTTCGGACCATGGACGTGGAGTCTGAACCCCGGTCCTTTCGGTATTAAGGAACATGTGCTGATTGTCTTAACCGCTGGTGCCGGTGCTCATTCCAACATGGTTCGTACTTGTCCCTTGCTGTGCCTGTGCAGTTCTAACAACGGAATAGGGCGAGATCCTGGTCTCTGTGAAAGAGATATTTTACCAGGAGCAGATGAACCCCTTGTATGCGATCCTTTTCATGTGGGCTTCGATGTGGACAGGCTTCTCGTATGCAGCACTTGCACGCAACTTCCTGGTGTACAACCCCGAAATTCCTTGGCCCACCGCTTTGCAGCAAGTCGCCGTCTTCAAAGCACTACGAGGATCTCGTGCGAAACCGCAACTCCCAAAAACGCCTGTGACCACCCGCACACCCATGGCCCGACAACAGTCACCGCTAACAGCGAGGTTTCGCACAAACACACCCGGCAGGGCCAAGTTCAACCTCGGGAGGCCCTCTCCGGCTGCATCTCCCACAGGTGCCTCGCCTTCTTCACCTTCACCACCACCCGCGTTCTTCCAGCAGCGTGAGGCCGATCAGCTCCGAGCTCGCCAGATGAAAATCTTCTGGATCGTGTTCCTCGCGATTTTCGTCTGGCAGTTCCTGCCAGAGTTCGCATTCCCCATGCTGTCCAGTTTGGCTTTGTTCTGTTGGTTCTCACCCCCGAGCGCTGCAGCCAAGTTCATCGGCAGCGGTATTGGCGGCATGGGTTTCTTGAACTTTACGCTGGATTGGAGTAACGTTACGTCGATGATTATCACGCAGCCGTTCTATGTTCAAATGATCCTCTTCATTGCGTTCGCCATCAAGTGGGTGTAATTCACCCTTTTCATGTTACTATGCTGATCATACCATAGCTGCTGGATGCTGATACCTATCGCAAAGTTTGGGCATATGTGTAAGCACAGTTCATCGTTCAGATAAATATATGCTGATCTGTACAAGGGGGAGCGGACACTTTCGATGTCATGTCGAACAAGCTGTTCACAGAGAATGGCACTCATTACCCGTTCCACAAAATCAGTAAGTTCTCGCAGTTGGCAATAATCACGCTGTGCTAATACGAAATCAGTGACGTCGACTGCGGAATTCAATGCAACCGCTTTCGAAGAGATCGGTATGGTGCGCGCCGGGCCGCAGTACATGTGGGGTCTGTTCTTCCAATATGCATCATACACATCGGCGCTCGTTTGGCTAGTCTTGTTCCACGGAAAGGATGTGTGGACGGTGCTGAAAGGCCAGTTTGCTGGGGGCAAGAAGGTCTTATACTCGGACAAGTTGAATTGGATCATGAGGACATACAAAGAAGTGCCTGTGAAGTGAGTGAAATCACTTGCAGGAGAACGGTCTGCTGATGCATGTGCAGGTGGTATATCGCCCTATTCATCCTTTCATTTACGATCAATTTCCTTCTGGTCCTCAAGGGCGAACTGTACCTCCCTTGGTGGACATACATCATCGCACTCATTGTAGGAGCGATGTTCCTGCTTCCTATGGGATTCGTGTATGCCGTTTCTGGTGCGTCCATCTGTGCATGCATTGACACAGTCAGTAACTTCCATATTTAGGATTCGGTGTCCACGTTGGGATTCTGAATGAGCTCATCTTCGGCTACATGGCTCCTGGCAAGCATCCTCTCGCGAGCTTGGTATATCGTACCGTGTCCGGCCAGTGCTGGTATCGCGCTGCAACGATTCTGGAAGATCAAAAGATCGGCCACTATCTGCACATCCCACCTCGTGATGTGTTCTTCTCCCAGATCTGGGGTTCGATTGTTGGTATCCCTGTCAAGTGAGTCTGGAGCTGCGAGTTGAGGCACTGCGGTCTAACGGACGTTCAGTTACATCACCATTCGCTGGATCCTGGATACCAAGATGGACTACCTGACGGGAAAGGAGAAGGACCCATTGAACCAATGGACAGGCCAGGTGCCGATTGCCTACAATTCCGCCGCTGTGCAATATGGTCTCGTCGGCCCCGCCCGTCTCTTCAGGCACGCGGCGTACGCTCCTCTACCTCTCGGTTTCATCCTGGGAGCCGTAGCGCCGTTATTGGTTTATTGGCTGCATAAGCGCTTCCCAAAGCGGGGGTTCAACTATTGCAATTCGACCATATTCCTTTCTGCTCTGGGACACTTCAGGGGATACATATCTAGTGGGCCGCTAACGGCTATCATCCTCGGTTTCAGTACGTATATGCGCATGTTTAGTCAAGCATGTGGCTGACTTTTCTTCAGTCAGTAACTTCTGGCTGTTCCGCTACCATCATGACGAGATCTGGAAGCCTTTTGCGTACATGTTCGGAGCGGCTAGCGACGCTGGGTGAGTACATTCCATGTTCCCAGAAACCATCCTGACCGTGATGATCAGGTTCAACCTCAACATGCTCTTCATGTTCCTCCTGACTTCCATATTCCACAAGTTCAAGATGCCACATTGGTGGGGCAACGCCCCGGACAGTATCGAACGTTGTTTCACACACTAGACAACTCCCAATTTCAATAGATCAATCAGTCAACCATCTCATCTGGACGACATCATATCTTAAATACCAATATCAAGCACTGTACCCTTATGCACATATTGTATTTTCAATGATCAAGCATGACTTGCACTTTCTCTACCATAGCGAGGGGTCCAAGCAACTCATTTAGGGCACCAAGTGAACACCCATTTCTCTGCAGACGGCACCTCCCGGATGCCTAGCATGAATCTCCAGCACTTGCCGTAAGTCCAAGGCTGGCACTCTCGTCTGACGTCAGTTAGTGCCTGCATCGGAGGAGGCGCATATACCTAGCTTGAGGTCGTATTTTTCTCCGTGGAGTGTGATCGGCTTGAGGAGTTCGTGAGGTTCCGAAACGACGAGACTGATAAGTGTCTGTCGCCGTAGAGGTCAGCTGTGCACGGTGTCCATCCTAGGAGCGGACATGAACACCTGGAGCAGCAGCTTCCCAAGCGAGAGATGTATGCTGATCAAGAACCGCCCTCCTGATCCAGTTGAGGTGTCGTCTTACTCGACCGGGAAATAGCGTACCGATCAAGATCGAGAGAAAGCTGGACTATCCGTTCCTGTGCGCTGGCCGCAGAGGGAGAAAGGAAGAATATTGCTGTGGTGTTCAAGGGGAGGTCGAGCATGGTCGATGTTGCTGGTGAGGACCAAGAGGGGCAACAAAGGGAAGACGCGCGAAGTCGAGGGATTATATTCATACATTCACGCACCAGAGCGCTCTCTTGAAACTCCGCCGAAGGACCAATAGACCACCAGCCTATAACCCACTTCCAACAGCTCATACATACACGCAAGGGTAAGATCATCTCCCCTCCTTCGCCTCCTTCTCCCTCCTCTTCTTCACCTCTGCCGCATACCGCTTCGCACCCTCCAAGTCCATCTCCCCGTCCTCGCCTTGCTCCCACTCTCCGCCCTCAAGGGATGCGTTATACTCCTCCTCGATAGCGCCCGCGAGGTCGTCAAGTTGCTTAAGAGCGAGTGCGAGGGCATCGAGTGAGGAGGCGTTGTCTGCCGGTGCGCATGAGCAGAAGGGACGATGTGACGGTACTGTGGACTGGAATGAACATACCATACATCTGGATTCGGAGGTTGATCTTGTACTCCGACGGGTGGGGCATGCTTTCCCACAGCATATCAGCTCCTGCTTTCGTGAATCTCAACACGAGCTCACCTGTACCCGCAGAACTCCACCTTCGGGCTGCAATCCTATCAGCCCCTGCCTACCTCTCGAAAGGAAGATACTCACTTCTTCATGATCATCCACCTCAGTGCATTACCCAGCGTATGATCCTCTTCCTCGATACAGAATGTAGCGTGTGAGTAGTCTGTTGTGTGCCCTGGCAGCTGTTGAGAGGTGTGTTAGGTGAAGCAGTAGAGGGAAGAAGAGGGACGCACGACAGATATCTTAGGACCGTCGGGTACGTAGCGGAGGGAACCGTCGTCCGGTGGTGGGTTGGACATTATTCAAGATAGCAAAAAGGTAGGTTTGGAAGTACAGTGCGCTTTGGGTATTTTATGCTTGTTGCTGTCCCTGCAATTCAATACTGTTAGGTGAGCTGATTGGTCCCGCACCACAGGGATGGTTGGAGTTTGGGCGCTTCTTTAAGTTCCGTGCGGCTCCGCAGGTCCGATATACTTGTACCCACTGCACCATTCCTCTCGTACGACAGGAAACCTATTGGACACCACTGACCGAACTTCTAACGTCTTGTTATTGGTATTCGATCTCGGATTGGATTGCTCTCTCTAAAGTACACTGCCCACGGGACGGCCTAATGTGCGACCCCGTTCGTACCGTTCGTACCGTTCGTACCGTTCGTACCGTTCGTACCGTTCGTACCGTTCGTACCGTTCGCGCCGTTCGTCTTAGCCTTCCCCAACACGCCTCTCCAATACCTCCCCTGGGGATACTCGAATTCTTCAAACGCGCTCTCCTTGAACTGGATCGAATACCCTTCCCCAGCCTGGGAGGGGACGTTATACCTCCCATCCTTGTTGATCGAGCAGGGGTAGATGAAGTGCTCGTGCAAGTGGTCAACGTATTCCAGCACATTACGCTCCATGCTCCCGGAGACGGCGATGTAGTCTATGAGCGAGAGGTGGATCACATATTCACACAGGCCGACACCGCCCGCGTGGGGGCAGACGGGGACGCCGAACCTGTATCTCCTGTCAGTACAGGCAGCCAAGAATGAAGAAGAGCGTACTTCGCCGCCATGAGAAGGACCGACAGGACCTCCGTGACACCCGCAAGACGGCACGAGTCGATCTGGCAGACGTCGATCGCCTGTGCCTGCAGCAGCTGCTTGAACAGGATCCTATTGTGCCCATGTTCCCCCGTAGCGACGCCAATCCCGTACGGCTTCAGCGCCTTACGGATTGTCGCATGGCCTAGGATGTCGTCTGGTGCTGTAGGCTCCTCGATGAACCAGGGTTTGACCTCTGCCATCGCTCGCACATAGTCGATGGCCTCGGGCACGTCCCATACCTGGTTCGCATCGATCATGAATACGCTCCCCGTCGGGCCAGCGTTCTTGCCCTCAATGCTCTCCGGGTCGACGGCCTTGGTCGTATACTCCGGGTTGTCAATAATACTTCGAATGATCTTCGCTCGGCGGAGGTCATTCTCCAACGACTGGCCAACCTTCATCTTAAAATGGTTAAACCCCTGCAAGACGGCCTCCTTTGTCAGCCTGGCGACTTTCTCATCATCGTACCCCAGCCAGCCGGCAGAAGTCACATAAGCAGGATAACCAACTTCGCGGACCTTGGCTTCCCGTTCCTTCTTCCCCGCTTCGCGGGCTTTGAGCATCTCGAGCGCTTCCTCGGGAGTGATCGCATCGCTAATATAGCGGAACGCGGTCGAGCGGACCATCTCTTCCTGCACTCACCGGCCGAGTCAGGGTCCACCGGCAAGGGAAGTGGAAGAGACCACGCACGGGAGTCATGTCCACCACGAGCTTCCAGAGAGGCTTCCCCCTGCTCCGGGCATACATGTCCCACAGGGCGTTGTCCACTGCTCCGGAGGCGATATGAATGACGCCCTTTTCCGGGCCGATCCTGTATTTCCCGGTGAGCACCTTCCTCCACCCAACCCGCTCGGGAGGTGAGCCCGAGACCGCGCACGCACGCACGTACCAGCGTAATTGCGAGTCCCCGAGGAGGTAACTCCACGTCTTTCCCATATATGAAAACAGCTCCTCGACGTCCTTCCCCACTAGCTGCTGGGCAACTGCGGAGATGGCACTGCAGACGATATCGTTCCCCCGCCCGATGGTGAATGTCATCCCGTACCCGGACAGGTTGGGGTCGGAGGTGCGGAGGGCGATGTACGCTGAGGAGTAGTCGCATGATGTGTTCCTGTACGACTTGTGAGGGGGTGACTAGCGTATGAAGGACATGGCGTACATGGCATCTGTGCCGTCGCTGGTGAGGGAAGTAGGAAACCTGACATCTGCCACCGATCGTTAATGGCTCCATCGTTACTCTGTAAATGGTGCTCACCATGAATATCAAAGTGGGTGATCTTGGCCGCCATGCCCCAGAGCTACTCAGCAGAACAATGCAAGAGAGAAAAGAGAATAAACCGCGGATATTTCGTTCGCTCTCCAGGTGCGCATCAAAGCTGCTCCTTATAGGAATTACTGCATTCTTGTCCCTAGCCGGGCCGGGCGCACCGGGACAGCCACTCACGTGCAGGCAGCATGGCAGCCCAAGGGCCAGGAGGTAACCAGTACGTGGGTTAAGTATGCAGATTCTCCCTTCCCCTGGAAGAGCACGCGTTGCCCGAGAGTGAACCAGCATCATTCGGGACAGTCGGCACTCTCGGCGAAACAGTCCCGACCGCCCGGAAGCTGCCTATTGGTGCCGCGATTGTGCCGGCGGATGAGCTCGGTGTAATGTCCGTGCGAGGTGGGAGTCTGGGCCAGAAGGAACGGGAGAAAGGGGGTTTGTCCTGCCGAGCTCCGGCCGGGGATATGTGTTGAAGTTTAAGTGTTGCAGTATTGGGGAATATTCATTTGGGGTGGAGCAATGGTTGCTGTTCCGCTGATCTTGGATGTGGGCGGAGTGGATGAGACATATTTGGCAGCTGTTATGACAAGGTGACATAATGATGACACTTGACCAGTGTGGGGAATGCAACTGGGGATTGCTGATCACTGATTGCTGATTGCATGTCCTGATCAACTATCAGACACAATGGTACAGCAGTACAAAGGGTGTGTGGTGACCCACCAGTAGGGACAGCAGGAATATTGACAAACCTCAGCTTTAGCTGTCTGGTCAGTGACAGCTGGATCACCAGATTGCCAGATCACTGGCTTGATTGTAGACTGGAATGCGTCAGAAGCCCTCCTAGAAGCAATGAATGCACACCTTGGCCCTTGGTGCTTGGGTCCCAATCAGGGGACAATCATCTGCTTGAGTGTGATTGTGATTGGGCAATCAAGAACTGAGCTGGCACATAAGTAGGGAGGTTGTGAACCACAGCCAGACTGGATGCAACAAACCTTGGGCAGTAGAGAGGAAGCAACCCAGACAGCCTTATCTCTCCCCCAAGTGACAGGGTCTAAATGGAATTGTGCCATTTTCAGGGTGTGTTGATAGTTGGAGAGAGAGGGGCATGCAGACCCCATCAATTGCTGACATTTATATGAACAATATGATATCAACTGTCACTCTATGGTGTGAGGGAGTGGATTATGGAGTGTGTGAGTGAGGGTCCGGGTCAGCACAGGGGGGAGGGTAAAACATTGGTTATGATTCTGGGTGGCGTAGTAGCATATGTACTAAATTGTCTCTGCAGATACAAACTTTTGTACACTTAATACTACATACACTACCTCTAGCATATGCCTCCATCATGGCACCAAATGCTAGTGTGCAATCCCTCCCCAGGTATCCACCAATCACATACAAGCTGTCTGCATAGGCATCCAATCTCCATTCATCAGTCCAGTCACTACATCAACTGCTATCAACCATGCTACTGGAAATAACACCACTGTGTTAATACCACTGTCTCATTCAGAACTTCTACCCCTCTTTGCATCTGATTTTTTTATGTTTCACCATTGTCCATGTTCACCCAACATACATTCCATTTCCTTCATACTGTAGTTATTCTAGATACACAATGTACCATGCACTGCAAAAGCATCTTGTTGCTGAGCTCTGCCCCATGCCATCTCCTCCTGGATGTCCCATATTATATGATCCAACCATATCTTTGTATGTTTTCCAGACATATCCTTTCCAGTTCATTGGGATATCTCCTCCCCCATTTAGAATTTGCACCCAAATCCTTGCACATATGACCATGGCTACAATGCCAGTTGGCCCCCAACCTCCACCCCTTGCAAGTGGCATGCATGCCAACCTTTCCAAGTCTGCCATGTCTGAAGGGGTGGGAAACTTGAGGTTCAGGCAGCATATCCAATTCCAACTTGTCCAATACTGATGTGTTGTCCTGCATGACATAGAGATCCAGTAAGCCAACATCATTCCACTTTTCCAGTTTATGCAGGGCCAGTGTCTTCATAAATTCTGCCCTTGACTCATCATCTGACAGAAGGTTGGGAAAGTAAACTTCCAAGCAATCCAAGTGATACCCTTCCAGTCTATCAGTATTGCTGTGTTCCTGACTCACACATATGTGAAAAAAAAACCTACATCTTCAGCATCTTGTGCAGTATCTCTCCTCTTGATAATCCAGATTAAATGCACAGCACAGGGTACCTCCCTGACAAAGGTCTTCATGCTGCATGATAACCTTTATTCACCCAACTAGCACAATCAACACTGCTGTGTACACAATGTAGTGTTGGACCAATCACAAATCCACCCTTCTCCAATTCATGAACATATCTGTTTAGTATCATTAGCAAGTCTGGTCATGTCTGGATCCTGATTTTCCATACCTACGGTAATAGTAGACTTCCCCTTCTTCCCCATGCCATCCCAGTATCATTGAATGCATCCACAAAGGAGTGTCTTCCAACCATTTTTCTAGGACAAAACCCCATCTGTTCACCTTGATAATGTCCTTTGCCCTGATCCATGTGTAGGAGTTCGTTTCAATCTGTGCAAGAACTCATACATATCTCAAACTTTGCATGCAATGACACAACCACCTACCACTTCATGTTGCCCCATGGCATCTAGGTTCAGATCAAATTGCGCACTGTAAAGCATTAGTTTGACATTCTATCATAAGCTCTACTGATGAACATACTATTGCACTTCCATAGTCTTCTTGACCCAGAGGCAACAGGCTCAGCAATGTTTGGAAACCCTCTTGTGGAAGCCAGAGCTCCATGTTCAGCCATATATCATCATCCTCTGATTGGGGCAAGAAAGGATACCCCTTCATGGCTGCCTGTATAACATGGCCAATACCTTCCAACTGACCCACAACATTGAACTTTACAAAAGTGCCAAACTTGATGACTTCTCCCTCAGATGTATGCCACTCATGAAGTTGTTGGACATCTTTGAACTAAGTATGTGATGGGTATCCTTGTAGACACATTTGTAGATGCAAGGCTTGGTGATCAAACTTGGGCTGATAGTATGACATAGTGGTCTGCCAATGGACTGGTGCCAAGCATGTTCAACCTTCCCTTCCCTGCTTCTTTCGGAGGCTTGACACATGGTCAGTCAAACATTCCATGTCTGCCAGGGGGCAGTGCATGAGCACTGCCTAGAGGCTGTGCAGGACCGGCGGGGGGTGCTGCACAGCCACTGGCATGTGCCAGTCCTTGCCAGCTCTCCCCATTCACCCAGCTTTACTTTGATTCCGGCAAAGTACATACCATCTGGTTACCTCAATGTCCAACATGTCATCCCCCATGTCCAATTCACTTGCACTGCCCTTCTGAGATGATATATCCCCAGACCACATTGTTCAGGTCATTGAGCAGCATGTGATTCAGTTTGATGGTGTGACCATACTACCAGAGTCTTACATGTATGTCATTTGAATCAACTGAAGACTCTGTTGACCCACTCCACCCACCAACAGGTTGACCATATCTGACACTGTCCATTTGCTTGAGGCTACTGCCCCCTCTCACCTCATGCCCACCATCAAGTCACTCCTTCCTTTTCAACTTATATGCATGACAGGGGTGACAAGACATGTCCTCAGTGGTTTTTGGTACTCTTCACTTTATCTCTTTCAAGCATGTGCTGACTTGCACCATTAGTGCCATTGTCTTCACAAGGCTAGCTGTGATTGACCATCAGGGACCTCTCATCCTGTTAGGACTTCCTGTCCATCTTACCCTGGATGCACATTCATGTTCTGTTGCACAATCTGTTCACTGCCCCCAATTTGCATTGTTAGTGGTCATCTGCAACCCATCAGACACTTGTCCAACTATGTCCCAATAACTGACATATGTCACATAAATGGGTGAAGGGTTAGACACACTTATCTTGACCATCATTCTGCTGATTTGATCCCCTTATTGCACCAAGCTGACATTTTCCTCACTCCTGTCCTTGCCATTCCTGGAAAATACTTCACATTACTGTATGCTACCTGACATCGATCCCTGTAAATGAATGGAAATGTATTGTAGACTCCTATCATTCTCTACCATCCTCTGATGATTCTTCCTCATGCTTGCCCCTCAACCCACATTGTTCATGGTCCACATTTCCATGCTCATAGTCCCACTCCTCATCAGATTTATCTCCCTCCTGGTGGACACAGGTCAACATGAAGAGGTCAGCTGCTAAGCAAACAGCCACTCACTGGAAAGGCAGACACAAGATCTCTCTTTTCCACATACTTTTTTTTTTTGCCAATGTGGCACCCTTTGATGGCTGCAGGCTGACATCCATCAAAATCGGATGACCAACTTTCTCTGCAGCCTGTTCAATAATGACAAAAATTTGTCAACACCAGCACTCTGAGTTTATCTCGTCACGCCTGTATATGCTGCATGGCTGGTGGGAAAAATACTGGTATGTGCACACCAGAATCCATATGTACCCCTCAACCCTGATGAGGACAATGGCTTCAGCTCCCCAGATGTAATGCACATGTTCATCTTTGGTGCAAGCATCACTGGAATAATGGCATCCCCGTCTGATATTTTCAGCCTGATAACAGTTCAGAGTGTTTTGTGGCACTTGCTCATGTGCTGTACCTAAACTGAACGGGATTCAACTTCTTCCCTCCAATGGTCATAGGATCAATTTCCAGGACTTGCACATTCTTGCAACCTATGTCCAGATCCACTAACATCAATATGCAGGTTTCTGGTTGAATTTTGACTGAGCACAGCATGGTGCTTGGCCAGGAATAAGAATAGAAGAGGTGGATGTATCAGGTGGTGGTGAGGAAGGTAGCTCAGTAAATACTTCCATCAAAGGTCCACATTTTTAATACACTTGTGATGCATAGTATCCATGTGATTTGGCTGAAATTATTGCATTCCATTGCTATTCATGGAGTTAATCTGCATACATAAGCTATCATCAGAGTACAAACATCAGTCATCATCAACAGTCTCCATGGTCAGCAAGTTCTCATTGTTGCTACATATTTTGAAGCCAGCCATCTCCTCGAGCATCCCATCCACCGGATCAAGTCATTGGATGCTGATGATGGTGTTGGAGGGCTGCTCATGGCTGCGGAACACCTTTGAAAGAGATTTGACCACCAACCACCACAGCGAACCCATAGTGTCAGAGATTGCCTTTCTGATGTCCACTCAGTCTGCATCCTGGACAATCCCTCAGCATACCACAAGCACACCATGTACAATACACCTACTCTTGCAGCCTTGTTGGCAGACATCTGCAACATAGTCTCAGCTATCTTCCCAAAGACCATGGTGTCTACACATTTGTGCTTGTCCTTGATCTGCAAACTCACAAAGTACCTGATTCACAAGTCAGGCATACTTCTCCTTGGCAACCCAATACATATGAATATTTTGTCATTCCTCTTGGCTGCAGATTGTGGGCCCCAGTTGGACATTACATATTGATGTTCAACTTCTTGGGACAATTTGGCACCTGACAAGCAGGTTTAAAGCATTCATCGCTTGGAATGTGAATGGAGCCAACAATGTCATAGATATTGACACAATTGCTGGCCCCCATATTGGCATGCACCACAGTCATGGCATTCATTGCAAAGTCTGCAGGTACAACTCCTTCAGGCAGGTTCTCAGATCCCAAGTCAAATCTGGATGTAGCCTGAAGGAATGATGCATCTTGCAGAAGTGTCTGGTACCTAGTAGACCATCATCACATAGATACTTTGTACAGATGGCCATCTTACCACTGCTCCAGTTGCCCAGTGTTTGCAATGTCCAAACTCAACTTCACATAGCTGTCTCAATCAACTTCCAGGTTAACGTCACCATGTGGAAGGACCAAAGCATTGAAAATAATGATCAAATCACCAATCTTTCCTTTGAACATGCCAGCTGATGTGCACCACAAAAGGATGTGCAGTTTGACCATGTGGTTGTCCCTGACCTTAATTACCCTAGACTGTGTTAATTGGCCCTAGGAACATCACAGTCAGTGCTTCTCTGCCTTCCTGGCTACAGGAAGGCATACCTCACTGCTTTTCGTCAGCGCCACATTGTTAATGGCTAGAATTATGCCAACACCATCCACATGTTGACCCAGTATCGAGGTGGCAATGGGGGACAGAATAATCGGATCAACTGTCACTGGCTGGATTGTCTTGTTGTCATTGCATGCTTCAATTGTACACCCCTTCCTGATGAACAGATCATACAAATGGTAACAAAGTTGGGGTTTGTAGGTGTCCTTCATGGTCATTCCATAAACACACACAGTCTGTGGGTAAAACAGAAATAGGGAAGGTCAGCTGGTTCATATGAGCTCCTCAAATCTGACATACCCATCCAAAATCTGTGAGGCCCTCCAGGTGCTTGAAATCCATGTGATCATAGGAGACCAGGCAAATACAAGTCTTCAGTTACATGAGCTGCATGTGGGATTCAACTGTGCATTCTGCTTACAGAGTTGCCATCCATCAGTATAATCTTCAGGTCTTGCTTTTGGGCCCATATTGTTCATAACACTTCGCAATCACCCATGTGTATAACACCCAGGGTTGCTTGGGTGCAATGTCAACAATTGGAATGAGGGGGAACTCCCCAGGGTCACCACAGACATTCTTTCCAGACATCCATGGACCTGCTTGATGTGGACTCAGCACATTGCCTCCAGTGCTGAAATCAGTTCATGCACCATGTGTTGTTGTGCTCCCAGCATTGCTGTTCAGTGTGGTAGACTGAGTCTCCCCACTGCACCCACAACCACGACCACATACATCCCTTCAAAACACACCTCCAAGGCATTTCCTATCCTCACTGGATGGCATGGCATGGCAGGCTGAGGCAGTTCTCACTGACGGCAATGAGGCATCATTTGACTGTGCCACAGACCAATTCTCTCTGTCAATTGGCATGCGAAGGGGTGGTGGGTTGTCATGTTCCAATCAACAGACAGCACTGTCTGACCCAAGTGAGGAGGTTCCACCAAGCAGTGCGATCCCAGCACAATTAGCCCCAGATGATTGCCCCATGCCAACCAACCTGCTGGATAGCACCAGAGGTCATGATGGAGGATGCACCATAGAAAGGCTTTTGAGACATAGGGTTACTGCTGATGCACTGACAGCTGCAGTCATCTTGATTCCACATCCACAAGGCACTGTCTGAACTGCTGCCATGCTCTGATCAATCTCTTTGGGATCACTGTACTGGATGTAAGGCTTGGGAGACTCCACGAGGGATGCTTCAAGGATGACCACACATGTATATATGTGTCTCAATCTGCATTCTTCATAGCATATATTTGGCGGACCTTTGATTACCATTCCTCTGCCAGGTGACATGGGTGATACACAGTAGTTGAAAGGCCTTCACACCCTCCAAACCCTCCATGATGCATTTCAATGTCAGGGACTTGATGTAGCCAGTTGTATCAGATAAATGCAGCCTTATGTGTTCATCAGACAATGATGTTCAAAGGAAAACAAGGTATGACTTACTTGTGGGACACTCCCTCCAAGGCAACACCATTCACTGCTACCTGGCACCTGAACAGAATTTGCAAGCACACATTAACTTCCATGTTGTAGCCTTGAAGAAGTTCAGCCACTCCATTGACAGTGATCAGGTTGGACATAGTTGATTGTCAGTATGCAAGACAGTTGGTGGTATGAGACAAGGTGTGTCATGTTGTGTTGCACACCTTACATTACCAGATGCAAACCATGAGTGCTTGGTGGCTGTGCAGCACCCCCTGCTGGTCCTGCACTGCCTGCAAGCACTTGACTTATGCCAGATGCAAACCACAAGTGCTTGGTGGCTGTGCAGCACCCCCCGCTGGTTCTGCATAGCCACCAAGCGCTCGTGGTTTGCATCCAGTAATGTCAAGCATATACAATTGGAAAACAACATTTATCTTTTTGCTATGTACTGGCAATGAGATGTCTGATTGCAGCAGTCACCACTCACATATCCCAGTAGGAGCTCAAATGTGAGATCTGGGCCATGGGCAAATAATCACCTTGCCCTTTGTGCATTATGGTGTACAGTTAAGAGGTAAGCTCTACTGGTTCTTCAAAGATACCCATACATGGTAAGTACTATCAAAGATGGAGACTGATTTAATTTTTCTGCTGCTCCTGCGTAATCTGTGCTATCTGTTCCTTGAGCTGTTCCATCTCTGCTGCCTGTGCCGCATTCTTATCCCTGAGCTCGATGATCTCCGATTGTGCCTCCTGCAGTTGGTCACCCAATCTCATACACATCCATGATCAGATGATGGAATCAATCTCAGACTGATCCACCTCTTCGGGACTAGCTGCACTGATGTATTCCAGTGTTTTGGTGTCTTCTTCCTCCTTGACCTTGACTCGCTGACATGGCTTGGCTGAGGTCTGTGCGGGTATGAGCAATATGTCAAAGGTAGTGCTCAAAGTGTGCATACTGAAGGCAACCCATATGTGTCAAACCACTCATCCACATCAATGATGACTGAACCATCAGGCTTCATCCTCTTCAGTCTGTCCACTGGCTCCATGTCTTCCTCAGCCAGATGCTTCTCTCCATGTTGTTTCTTCTTTCCATTGGCAGCCCTTCTCAGTTTTGTTGCTTGTACTTCCTGATGCCTGCCCAGTGGGTGTTGACCCAGCCATCTTCAATCGATGATGGGATGATCCACCAAACAAGCACATCAGCACAGAGATGTCCAAGCAGTCTTGTTCAAAGTCCAAAAAGTCTGCCGCTATAGTCAGCCAGGGTTATTCCCATCTGTATGACTCTGTCAGTAACCATGACATCCTGACTTATTATGCTAGTCTTGCCTACTTCTCACTGCTGTATGGTGCTCACTGAAACCAATTACAAAGCACTGTTGGTCAACTATGTTGTTCAAGTGATGCAACAGTGTTTGATTGACATCACAGGGGTGCCAGTGCACCCAGATTCCTTTGTGTACCTATATGTGTATCCTTTACAGGGGTATTGCATTGACATTTCACATACAGCTTGACTATATCAGACATGGCACATTCAATCGAGGCAACAGTGCTTCTGTGTTTCAATTGTCTCATCAAGAATCTGTTGCCCTGCAAACTTCTATGTGTCACAAGGGCCACGAGCAGACTGGTAGCCAGGGTTTGGCAAGTATTCCCATCTCTCTGACCAACCATCAGTTCCTGACCACTTTAGGGCTATTGTGATCACTGGTTGCTCAGCTGTGCCTGGGTCTCCTCCCACTGCAATCCTTGGGGTACCTGTTCCCCTCCACCAAGGTGTATGCTTCATAAGATGTCACTTCCTGTTAGGGCAACACAGGCTGACTAAGTCTGCTCACCTAAGAGTGCCAAGAGTCTAAGCAGGCAACAAGGAAGTGGAGTAGACCTGATGACTAAGACCTATCTACAGTATAGGTACCTGTGGATGATCCTAAGAGACCAAGTCTGAAGAGACAGTCCCCAGGCAGAGTAGGCCTTATATTTATACCTCTGTGGTGGAACCTGCTAGAACATGTTGCTTACTCAGCCTAGTCAGGTGATCAGGTCATATGACCAAGGATGAGGTCATATGAGGTCATGCACAGCCATGCACAGCAGGTCACCTGACCATCCAATCCTTCCAGCAGGTTCCAGCACATGCCAAGGTATACCAGCTACTTCCATGTCATAAAGGCTTAGTCATGTCTCTTGACCAAGCAATGAGCTGGTGCCCTGACAGGTTGAGGCATTGGACCATATGGATTGCCATAATGGTAGGAAGGGTAGAAGGGTTGTGTTGGATAGAGCTGAAAGGGAGGCCATGTCAGATAAGGGGAAGAGGATGGCAATGATGGGTAGTACAACAGATACTGAAGTGGGGCAATGGCAGTTGAAAGGGGGGGGGGG